AGACATGGTAGAGTGAAGAAAATCATATCCCCAAATCTGTGATTGATAATAGACTCCAACTTTCATAACATTTCCGTTAAGTGGGAGTCCTTTGAAGAAAATCATGTTTACCCTGATATTAGAAGTACTCAAAAACCTCTGAAGTCAATCAGCAGGTATTTATTGAGCCCCTACAATGTTCCTAACACTGATAATCATTATAAGTATAGAGTTGACCAGAATATTAAATGAAGGTCAGATAGTCTATTATTGGAAGTTATATACAGCAAGTGTTAAGATTGATAGCTTTGTGGCCTCACTTAGACCTTCTGTTTTTGCTCCTAAGTTTATTTCCATGTCACTTCAAGAGCATTATGGTTACTGAGTAGGGCCTCATTGCCCCAATCTTCCCACAGCTACTGTGGGATTCTGTTGGGACAAGTTCCTGAAATAAGTTTAGGAACTCAGATTGATAATCAGGATTTAACAGGCATTAAAAGGATTTTTGGAGTCCAAATCAGATAGCTGACTTGGGCCAGAGACTTCAAACTGAAATGAGAAGAAAGGCAATCAAAAGAGTGGACTTAATCTTGGTTTAAAGGCTTTGGGGAGCTCATTTAATTAGTTGCCTACTTTACAATCCTGGGCTATGCACTAATAGAGCTTTAGCCCCGCCCCTTGCCAGAGAAAGGCTTTAATAGCTACTACACCGCAGCATGTGGTATCAGAGAACAGTAGATGGACCTGTAGAGGTTAGATAGCTGAAGCCCAAAAGATGGTAGCAGAAAGCAGGTAAGTGAAATAACTGAGAAAACAAAGATATGAGATACTGAACAAATAGATTTACTAAGCAGCGCATGCCAATTGCATAACAAATCAGGACCAAGACTCCCCAGCTTGGCACTGGACCCCAAATACAGGGGAAGACAGATTTTTATGCATTAAAAAGAAAACAATCAACAGGATATAAAACAGGATACAAGATTAGGTAATCTGATTTCTATTTGGAGGAAAGATTAGGGGCCTTTCCAAATTGGGATGGGGAGACAGAACAGGTGCAACTCCCTGAAATCAGAAAAAGAGGTGTCCCACTCCCCTCCAGGTAACTGTATTCAATCAAAGGAACATGAAAACAGTAACTGATTGACCAATACAGGGTCAGTTTTCAGTTGCTTGAGATGTATAATTGTGAGAAAACCCCTTACCTCAATCTTTGGGTCTGACTGGGTTTCTGGTCAACACACTAGGTCCTTGGTTAAGGGTCTCTTAAGTAGCAAGCAGAGGTGGTCCAGCTTCTCAGCCATGCAGGGCTAAGTTCAAATAACCCAATATAGTTTTCTCACAATTACCATAATTGAATAAAGTTTTCTCACAAAATGGAAATTGCATTAGACCTATAATTGAATAGAAAGGAAACTGAGCTATCTCCAGAATTGAGTCATAAGATGGAATCACAAGATGGAGTTCACTCCATTCTCACAGAAGAGACAATGAGACTGGAACATAGTAAACCCTTGATAAATGCTTGTTGCCTGAATGACTAACTATGATTGGAAGGAAGGGGCATGTTGTCTACTATTGCCTCCCCACACCGCAGATCATCTTTCTCAAGTTAAGTACTCATTATCTTCTGCTCCTTTCTTTTTTCTTCCTCTCCTTCTTAGTTCCAGTCTTTTATGCTAGGACACTTTGTATGCTGGTGCTCCCTAACCACCTTACCTCCAGTTTCTCAATCTCTTCAAATCCCAAGTCCCATTCCTCCATTCCACCTTAATCACAAAGATCTCACAATTACCCAGAATTATTCCATTTCCTTGATCAAAAATGCTAACACCCCTCTATGACCATAACCTTCTATCATTACTTCTCTCCTTCCTACACCTATTCCTCACCTTTATTACAACCTCCAATTCCCCTATGCTTCAATATTTTCTCATATTTACTCCTGTCCTGACTTCATTTTCTTCTCTTTCCCATCTCCACAGTATAGTTAATCAATTCAAGTCCACAGTATCCTCTACTCTCAAATTACTGGACTCTTCATCTCTTGCTAAACGCTGACCTTGGATTACTCCTACTATCATTTGCTGTTTTTCAGAGGTGGGGAAAATCACACAATTGAGCTGACTGGGTCCACTATAAATTTATGCTATCTAACCTCAACAAGGACCTCTCTGTAAAAAGTCCTTTTATCCTTCCCTAATTGATTCTCTATCTCCCTCTCCATGGAAGCTATTCTAGACCTTCTCTTCTCTCCACAAGTTTCTACAAATCCTCTTCTCTCCACCCTCTCATCTGAGGACCTTGTTTCTAATTTGCTTTTTTTTTTTTGCTAGGCAATGGAGTTAAGTAACTTGCCCAAGGTCACACAGCTAGTAAGTGTCAAGTGTCTGAGGTCAGATTTGAACTCAGGTCCTCCTGACTCCAAGGCTGGAGCTCTATCCACTGTGCCACCTAGCTGTTCCCTTTTGTCTCTAATTTTACTGAGAAAATTGAGGCTACTGGATGCAAGCTCCCTCTTTTGACTCTCTGTTCATTTCAAAACCCTCCGAAACCATGCCCCACTCTTTCCTTCATTGTTGGAAAATGAGATGGCACTGTGCCATTGATTCCATCCTCTTCATTCTTCTCCAGTAGATTGTCCCCTTAATGATCTCCCACCTCTAATCTCTAATCAAATCTCTGGTATCCACTTGTTCAATTCTCACCCTTTCAAACATGTCCAAATCTCCCCCATCCTTAAAACCTTCACTAGACCCCACCACTCCTTCGTTATCTTCCTATATTTCTCCTCCCTCTCTCATCCAGAAAAGTTCTTAATTGTCAAATCGAATGTTCTTTTCTGTTTTTGTCTTTCTTAACCTCTGCCACATTTGATACTCTGTCTCCTCTCTGGGTTTTCATGACACTGCTTTCTCCTGGTTCTCTTCCAACTTAGAACACTACTCAGTATCTTTTAATGGCTCATCATCCAGATAACAATCCCTTACTGTCAATGTTCCTCAAGACTCTGTCCTGGGTCCTACTGTCTTCTCTCTCTACACTCTCTTGGTGACCCCATCATGTCCCATGGGTTTAATTATCTTCTCTGCAAATGACTCAGATCTATATATCTAGCCCCAGATTCTAACCTAAGCTTCAGTCTTACATCACCAACTACCTAAGGAACATTTCAGACTGCATTCCTAGAGACATTTCACCATGTTCAAACACAGAACTTAGTCTTCCTCTCAAACCCCCCCATCTATGTTGAAGGCACCTCAGGGGCAGTCTTCCAGGCATCCTATGTTTGTAATCTTAGCATTATCCTCAACTCCTCATTCTCTCCCATAGCACAATCAGTTGACAAATCTTGGAATTTCTACCTCCATGGCATCTTTTGCATGGCACCCTTTCAATATCCTCTCACAGCCACAGTTCAACCTCTCATCACCTCTTGCTTGGACTGTTACAGTGGCCTTCTGATTGCTCTCTCTGGCTCAAGTCTCTCCCCACTCCAAAATCTTCTTCACATAGCTTGCAAAGTGATTTTCCTTAAGCATAGATCTGACCAAGACATTCCTTTACTCAATAAACTCCAGTGGCTCCCTATTGTTCCTGAGATAAAACAGAAACTTCTTTTTCAGGCTTTAAAAGTCTTTCACGACTGGCCCCAACCTATCTTTCCAGTCTCATTGAACATTACTGTTCTCCCCACATTCTACGGCCTAGTCCATTGGGTCTCTCTCTTCTTTACGCACTCCATCTCCTATCTCCCTGCCTTTATACTGTCTAACCCCCATATCTGTAATCCCCTTCCTCTTCACTTCTACATCATGTTTCTGTGCTCCAGTAAAGACACAGCTCAAGCATCATCTTCCACTTGAAGCCTTTCCTGATCCTCCAACCCATGTGTAGACACATGTACTCATATATGGTGTCCCAAAAGTTTTAATGCAGTCTTAAGCATGAATAGTCCAGGCATGAGATGATAGGACAAAGACCTGCTGTAGCGGCTGTGTCAAAGAAGGGGACTTATATGAGATACACTGTGAAGATACAAATGACAGAATTTGGCAATAGACTAGATATGTGCAGTAAATAAGAATGAAGAATCAAGGATATCCCCTAGGTTGCAAACCTAAGTGACTTTGAATATGGTGATGTCCTCAGCAGGAAAGTTCAGAAGAGGGAAGAATTTGGGAAGAAAGATAATTCAGTTTTGGACATGTTGAATTTAAGATGTACATAGAACATCCACTTCTAGATGTCTAATAGGTAATTGAAGATATGAGACTGAAAGTCAGAGCTGGATTAAAAAAAAAATCTGAGGATCATTTGAAGAGATGATAACTGAATCCATGAGAAGTGATAAAATCAAGTGAGAGAATATAGAGGGAGAAGCCCAGGACAGAGCCTTGTGGGATACCCACTGTTAGCAGGCATGACCTGGCTAAACACACAGCAAAGGAAACTGAGAAAGAATAGTCAGAAAAGACCAAAGGAAGATCTCTGGAACATTGGGTAAATCTTCCATTGAGTATTTATAGACAGAAATGGACAAGAATTGCCCCAACATGAAAAGGTACTGGTGGCTGGTATCTTTGCAACTAGAAAAAGCCCACAATGATGAGATCATGAAACCATCACATGATAGCCTAATAACATTTACAGTTTGTAGACATATGATATTTATAAAATGCTTTATATACATTGTCTCAGATCCTTATGATATGCCTGGGAGGTAGTAGTAAAAGTATTATTAGTCCCGTTGATTGAATTAATCTCGACTCAAACTCTATAAAAGTTTTTAGGTGGCTCAATTTTTTCCCTAAATTATAACAACTTTTGATTACTTTAATTTTTTTGGTTTTACATGAAAAGATATTAACAATGAGGGAATTTTACTCATATTTATCTTAAATAGAATTTTAATTTAAAGTCTTACATAACTGAATTCATACAATTGGAGCTGAACAAATACAACATCAAACTATTTTTAAAAATTTTAAATGCAGATCATGGGACCAACAAGTGCTAACCTGATGATCTCTGAGTCAACACTAAATCCGGTGACATTGTCGGTGAATCCTTGCCTTCTCATAAGAGCGAAGTTCTAGAGTTGGATCCTTGTGATTCCATTCCCAAGAAAGAAGCAGGCCTCTTCTCAGTGACTATCTAGCCATCTCCTTTATCATTGCCGGAAAGGACAAAGTGAAATACGTGATGGTACTTTGAAAAAGTTAAAACCATCATAAAACACAAGATAGATTAACATTGGAGTTAGAAGACCTATGTTCAAGTATTGGGCCTACCACCTAATAGCTCTGTGACCCCAGATGATTTAATCTCAGTCTGTTTAATCTATAAAATGGGGATAATAATTATGCTTCCTTCTTGAAGGGTTATCATGAGAATCAAGTAAAATAATCTTTCTACTAGCATTTTGCAGACTATAAACACTAAACAAACATAAGGTGTTATGATGGCAGCTGTGGAGAAAATGTCATTAACACATTGCTATAAATTGCAGGCATTCACCGTCCATTGGTAGAGTGAGTTTCTTCACCAAAAGTTCCCTACACTAGCGAATTCACAGGTTGTCTTTATACCTATACATCCTCACAAAGTGCTCTATGCACATCATGAACTCTAAGGTCCCTCCGATTTAAATCAAAGATATCTTTTAAGCATGATAACAACCCCATGAGATTGGCCCTATAGATATTATGTCCATTTTGGAAATGAAGAAACTGAGGCTCAAAGAAGTTAAATGACTTGCCCTAGTTAAGAATAGTATATTTGTAATTGGGTTCAAGTTCTGTTTCTGCCACTTACTAGATGTGACTTCATACTTGTAAATGAAGTAAAGTGTTGCTAGATGGCATAGAGGAGTCAGGAAGACCCAAGTTCACATCTGGCCTTAGACACTTACTAGCTGTGTGACCCTGGGCAAGTCACTTAACCCTGTTTGTCTCAGTTTCCTCATTTGGGGAAGGAAATGGCAAACTGCTCCAGTATCTTTGCTAAGAAAACCCCAAGTGGGGTCACAAAGAGTTGGACATGACTGAAACGACTGAACAACAGCTTGAATGTGAGGTATAGCTGCAAAGGAGGGTACTAGCTACTAGGTACTAGCCAGGTTGTTCTGAGGATCAAAAATGAGAACATATTTCTAAACTCTAGGAATAGATTCCTCAGTCAGGTGAGAAACATTTCTCTGCTAATACGGATGACAGCTGTTCAGTAATTTGTTTGGTCTAAGAGAATTACTCAAGGTTTAGTGACTTGTCTAGGGTAACAAAGCTAGCATGTATCAGTGACAGAAGTTGAACCCAGATCTTTGTGTCTCAGAAGCCAGCTTAATTATTGTTATGCCATACTGCCTCTTAGAATCTGACCCCCCCAACTACTTAGCATATATTTTTATTTATTAGCTTTATATTTATACTGTATATATTTTTATATGTTCCTGTCTCATCCATTAGTACATAAGCTCTTTGGGGGTAATTTCATTTTTATTTGTATTGCCTGGCATAGAGTAGGTACTTAATACATGATTGTTCTGAGTTCAAATCCTAGCTACTGACCTAATTTAGGCTGGTCTTTTGATGAGGGACAGGTTCTTATTCACTTATTAGAAACCTTATCACCTTGGAAAGCCCTGGCAGAGCTTGTAGTCTACTGATATTGTCCTAGAAAATCCAGGTAAATTCAGTCACCTAGCCACCATCAGAGAAGAGGTTTAGTGTGCCAACAAGCATTTATGAAGCCTTGCTATTTAGAAGGAATGGAGTGGTTAGACACAAGGCAAGGAGACTAATTAGGAGGTTTTTGCAATAATCTAGAGGACAGCTCATCAAGCCTGAACTGAAGATAGTGGCCCTGTTCGTGGTGACAAGGGGGTCAGAAGAGAATAATGATGTTGTTGAAAAGGGGAAGATTTGCAAACTGATTGATATATGGGGTGAGGGGTTGTGAAAAATAGAGGATAATGATAAGATTAGGAACCTGACACAATGCAAGAATGGTATTTCTTTTTTGAAAGAATTTTTCTTCAAAAGAAACAGGGATGTTTGGAAGAGGGGAAGGTTTAATGGAAAAAACAATGACTTTAATTCTGGATCCACTGAGCTTGAGATGTCTACAAGACATCAAATTCAAGCGTTACAAATTTAGAGGTTGTCCACAAAAGCAATATTAACTATTAATAGCATTACTAACTCCACGATGGGTCATATCCTATCACACCGTAAACTTCCTGAAGGGAGGTGGTTGTTCGATGCTGCACTAAGTCACTGGCCTGTGAGTCTGTATTCTCATCTGTAAAATGGGAAGAGTCGTTATTCACCTTGGAGGAGGCAGCTTAGGTTCCTCGGAGTCAGGAAGAGGGGAGTTCAAGTCTTCCCTGAGACAAATCAGGTGTCTGGCCACGGGCCATACCCTTAACCTCCAGTGGCCTGGGGAATTCTCTAGACGCTCTAGACTCCAGATGAAATATTCAATTTACACCGGGTGAGGCAGTTTCCACCCGGGCATTTTCTCACACGACAAAAATCCCAACTCAGGACAAAAAAATAAATCACCTTTTAAGGTTACTGTAGGGAAAGAACTTTGGAGAACACATGCGTTCCAATTATTATGACGATAATTACTATCCTCTTTTGGCCTGAGCTCTCTTACTATTTTACATGACGTTGGGAAGGATATTTCAGGCTGAGGAGCGACATCCCCAGGTCCGACCCCCCAGAGAAGTCCCGACTACCGCCCTTTTCCGTTCTTTTCCTGCCCAAAGCACCCACGTGGTCAGGCAGCCCTTCACACCCCAGCCCCGCCTCTCCCCTTTCTCACGCTCCAACCGCCAAAAGCCAAATCCCCGCCCCCTGCACCTGACGCATGCGCAATAAGACCGTCCTGGCGCAGGCTCTTTTCGCTCGCTCCTCCCCCGCCCCAGGCCCAGGATCTAGCTTCTCGCGACCGGACTCTGGGATCACCGCTCCTCCCCTCTCAAGGGCTCACAACAAAAGAAAGAAGAGAGGGATTGGAGGGACAACCAGACCAGAGGAAAGAACCAATAGACTTCCTTTCCTCTGCGCATGCCTGTTGGGAAGGACCGGGGTCGAACGGGAGATTAAATCCACTTCTCCATAGTTTAGTGGTGGCTGGGTCCGCCACTAAAATAGAACCGCTTAGGAAAAGGAACGCAAAGAAAGGGCGGCCTGGGGCAGGGCTAAAAAGCTGCTGATAAAATCCGGAAAAATGGAGCCAGCCTCTGGAGGCGATGGCGCGGCTTTGGACATGCGTAGTAGGCTTTCCACGGGTTCGGGTCCCGGGGTCGGAGGGTCGGGCAGCGAGTCCAAGGGACTCGCTTGCTCCAGTGTCATGTCGTCCCTAGGGGACTGTGAGTTCCTGGTGCAGCGAGCCCGGGAACTGGTGCAACAAGACCTGTGGGCGGCCAAGGCCTGGCTCATCACCGCGCGCAGCCTCTACCCGGCCGACTTCAATATCCAGGTCAGGGCCCGGCGTGCGCGCGCGTGCTTGTGTTTAGGAGACCGGACGTGCGTGGTGGGGGCGCGCGCTTGCGTGTGTCGGGGCGGCTGTGGGGCTGTCGCTGGCGTCCCCGCGTGCGCACGTGTGGGGGTGGGGAGCGCTGTGTGTTTGTGGTGTGTGTGTGTGCGTACGGCACGCGCGTGTGCGTGTATGTATGTATAGAGAGAGGGTGTATGTGTGTGTGTGTGTATATATATATATATATATGAGAGAGCGTGTGTGTACAAATCTAGGGCGCATGTGTAGGTAGTGTGTGAATAGTGTGCGTGTGTGTGCATATATATGTCTATAGAGAGTGTGTGTATATATATATATGTAGCGTGTGTACATATCTAGAGTATATAGGTATATGTAGGTAGTGAGTGTGGATAGTGTGCATGTATGTGTAGTGCAAGTATGTGTGTATATGGTGTTTGTTAATATAGTGTCTATATAGTGTATGTGTATATTATAGTGTGTGTATACATAACATTATAATGAGCGTGTGTATCTAGTGTGTGTATATGTGTGTGTGAGTGTATATGCAGACAGACAGACAGACAGACACACATACACAGAGAGAGAATATATGTGTGTGTGTATACTGTGCCCAGAACCAAGCTAGGTGAAGGTGTCAGGTTCTAGAGCAGGGGTTCTTAATCTGTAGTCCTTGAACTTGCTTTTAGGAGGCAACTGAGTGGCTCATTGGAGTCAGGAAGACCTCAATTCAAATCCTGCTTCAGACACTCCTTAGTTCTGTGGCCTTGGGCAAGTCACTTAACTTCTCTCAGCCTCCGTTTCTTCATCTGTAAATAGGAATGTAGGAATAATAATAATAATAGTATCTATAGGGGTGTTTCAAGGATGAAATGAGATAGTGTTTGTAAAGTGCTTTGCTTACGGTGCTAAGGCACCGTATAAATGGCAGTTATTTTATGTTATCATCATTATTAAAGGGGGGTAATAATAACACCTTCCTTCTAGGGTTATGGTAAAGTACTGAGCTATATAAATTCTAGTTATTGTTGTTATTATCATTATTATTACAACAGAAGTATCTGAAGTAATTCCTAGTGGCGTTCTGTGACTCTTTATGCACTTCTTTTTCATATCCTCTCCTTTCTTTAGTTTTCTTCTCTAGCTGTCGTCTTCTATTTTAGGTACTGGTGTTCTCTCCTTCCCCAAATTGTTAGGTCCTGACTTTGTCCCAGATTACCTGTGGAACTTTAGGCAAGTTATTTCTTTCTGAGCCTCAGTTTCTTCATCTGTAAAGGAATAAATTGAATTAGATGAACTCTAAGGTCCTTTCCAGTTCTAAGTCTATATAATATTGTCGTCTTATCAATTTATATATTATTTCTCCCTGTAAAATGTAAGCTCCCTGAGGACAGGGGACTATTTTTCATTTTTGTCTTTGAATCTCTGGTGCTTAGCATACAGCAGGCATTTTAAATTGAAATTGAATCCTGCTCCCTACCTTTCTCTCTGCCCCCTTTTCTGCTTTTACAATATGTAACATTGCTGAACCCCTGCAGTGAATGGCAAGGCTAAAGGGGCGGCAGACCCCATCATACGTTCTATTTGTTTTTAACTACATATAGTTTTTTGTTAAATCCATTATCACTACAGAAAAAAATCTCTCGATATTTATATTTTGACATAAAATGTCATGAGTGCTCAATAAATGTTAACTGGTGGTGATAGTTTACACTAGGAGTTGGATTAGGAATGAAGCAAACAAAGTTAGAAATTAGCTATTGCTGGCCCAGAAACAGTGGATAATGCCAAATGTGAATGGTCTTTGTTTCAGTATGAGATGTATATCATTGAACGGAATGCAGAGCGGACAGCTTCAGCTGGAAGGCTGCTGTATGACATGTGAGTGAAGACATCTCTTAACCCTGTTTAACTCAACATATTTTCCTCACTGAATTTCTATGTGAGGCTTTGTATCTGGGTATGGAACTGGGAGTGCAAGGATTATCTGCAGGCTTATCCAGATCACTAGGGTTTATTGTTTAGGAGGGTAGTTTCTTAAAAACAACACAGGGGCAGCTAGGTGGCACAATGGATAGAGCACTGGCCCTGAAGTCAGGAGGACCTGAGTTCAAATCCACCCTCAGACACTTGACACTTACTAGCTATGTGACCCTGGGCAAGTCACTTAACGCCAATTGCCTAAAAATAAACAAACAAAAAAAATTCAAATGATGTTTTTTATAAGTTTATAACATTTATATTTCTGGAGTTATTAAAACTTAAAACTACTCAAGACTTTTGGGATATCTGTATATGTGTATTTTATTTTCAAAGCGTTCTTTATTTTAAGGTTTGTGAATTTCCCAGACCAACCAGTGGTATGGAGAGAAATAAGTGTCATCACTTCTGCATTAAGGAATGATTCCCAGGATAAACAAACTCAATTTTTAAGAGGTAAAGTGTGACAATCTTGCATATTACAAAGCAAACTTTCCTGAGCCTCAGATTTTCTTAGCAATAAAAATTAATGTTTTTGACTCTTGTTCCTAACTATAGGCATTGTTCTTGGCATCTAAATTTGTTTAGATGTTGTCAGACAATCTCATGAGCATTTTCTTGAAGCCCCTTAGCATCCTTGGAGAGATGATTTTATCATTATTCCTAAAGAAATATTGTAAGTTAAAATAGGCTACTACTCAAATGCTTAAGGAATGAAGGCTGTTTCTTAAGAATTTTCTATATAGTGTCACGTTTAAAGTGAAAAGAAAAAAAGACTGTCTGATGCCAGATTTCTTGTAAATGTAGTTGAAATATAGAGGAAAAAAGATGGAGATTATTTTTGTTTTGTTTGTGTATTTCACCCAGAGGAAGGAAACCTATGGATGTCCAATAAAAGAACATTAATGATTTTAAGTCCTCATGGAAAAAAAAAAGCGAGGTGATCTGCCTTATTCCACCACTGTGCGCCAAGCACTATGCTAAGTGAGGCATAAACAGGGGAGACAAAGAAGGGCGAAAAACAATAGCTACCTTGGAGGAACTCACAATCTAATGAAGGGAGACAGTAAGCAAACAACTACATACAAATAAGCTATGTGCCTGATAAATAAGAAGTAATCAATAGAAGAAAGCCATTAAAATTAGGAAGGATAGGAAAGGCTTCCTGTAGAAGATAGTATTTTAGTTGCCACTTAAAGGAAGCCAGGAAAACCAGGAGGTGGAGATGAGGAGGATGCATGAGGAACAGCCAGGGAAAAAACTTGGGGTTCAGTAGATGATATGTCTCATTCCAAGAACAAGGAAGCCAGAGTCCCTGGTGTCTGTAAGAGTATGTGAGTGAAATTAAAGGATAAGAACACTGGAAAGGTGAGGGGGAGCGTAGGGGAAGGTTATGAAAGGCTTTAGATGCTAGATGATTTTTATATTTGATCTCAGATCTGTTAGGGAGTTACTGGAGTTTGCACAGGATGGTGACTGGGGGTGGGGGAATGGATGACATGGTCAGACCTGCATTTAAGGAAAATCAGTTTGACAGCACCAGTTGTGATCCCAGTAATACAGAATTTCCATCTTTAGGCTGCTATTGGCAAGAAATAATAAAAACTAACACAACAGAATATTCCATTTTGTGTTGGCTGGTCTGACCATTAATCTTACTCTTTTGCCTCTCTCTTCTCATTTTCCAAAAATAAATAAAAGAAAATTTTATTTTGTACAGGTCTATTTGAAACACTTCCTGGTCGGGTACAATGTGAGATGTTACTAAAGGCCACAGAACAATGCTTTAATACATTGGAGCGAGCAGAAATGTTACTTCTGCTTTTGAGGCGTTTCCCTGAAACAGTTGTACAACATGGGGTAAGAGAAGATTTGACACAGTAGTACCTTAATAAGTGTTCCCATTCAACTGATAATTGTTTTTCTTAGATCAGAGTGGAGGTGAAACTGATAGCCAACCAAGTAGTTTAAAATATTTTCTGTGTTGACTTTTACCTATAAAAACAGTTTGGTAAATAGTAATAGTTTAGATTTTCAACTGAGAATCCTTAGAAATTTGCCATATTGATTGTAAGATATTAAACTTTGCCTTATCATGCTAAGGAAACAGTGACTGAACTATGATAATAATACATGCTCAGCAAGCAGTGGTTATATAAATTTTTGTTCCTCGGGCCTAAACAATGTATAAATCCTTAATTTTGGTGTGTTTTGCGAATGGGCTAACAATTAGGTTTCAACAGCCCCAGTTTGTTTCTGGCTCAATCCTGTCTTTGGCCATGTTGCTTTCCTTCTGTCTCACTTTACCAGTCGTTCTTTAGTAGGTCAGTTCTGTTCTTCCCTTAGCCTGTTTTCTGGCTTGCTGACCAGATTGGCCTATTCTGTTACCCCCTCCAGTCTTTCTTTGATTTTAGCTTTTCCTATTCTGCAGCACGTTACTTTTTTTCACCAGTGCCACGATCTGGTGCTTTGTTAAAATGTGTAACCTTTAGTTTTACATACTCAGTGGGCAAGGTTGCTTTTAAGGGCCCCTTCAACTTGAAGCTCTTATAACATTTATTGGGAGCATCAGAAATACACAGGTGTCTTCATAATTTTAAAGGCATTCCTTTTGTCCCAGTGTCTTCAGGGCTTGCCTTTCAGAGCTCTTCAGCCTTGACTTTTGTGGCTGTAAGAACAAGTGCTGGTACTGTTACTTGTCCTGTACAGAGGAGAGTTTCCCTTCTCTGTGTACTTCTATGCACTTATAATGCTCTCCAAACTCCATGTCTGATGCTTTCCATTAGTTTTGTAGTAATGGTACCAGTTTCTCAGTTTTCCCAGCTAATAGAAACAAGTAATAGAAGCAGAATGGTCTGATGATCTGTTTGAGATTTTATTCCTGGCTTTGCCATGGACGTCTCATTTTGTTTCTCTAAGATGTAAAATGAGGATGCTTGCTTTACAAAAAAAAAAATTCATCTTTTAATAGGGAATATAAGTATATCAAGACAAAATGTTATTCTGTTTCCTTTATAGACTCTTAACTTATCAAACCTTACTCCAGTCTGCATTTGAATTTACATTTATTTGCATTTTAAAACAGGTTGGCCTTGGGGAAACATTGTTGGAAGCTGAAAATATTGATGAACAAGAATCCCCTGTCAACTGCTTTAGAAAATTATTTGGTAAGAGCAGTTTCCTTATTTCAAGCCAAGAAACATCCAGAAGGTTGGTGGGCAGGAAAGGCCATGTTATAGAAGCCAAATAGTGTGTCAGGAGACTCAGATTAATGTAACCATTTGTATTATGGAATTTTAATGTAATTAACCCATTTGTCAGTAAATTTTTATATTTTACTTGCCCAGGAAAGTGCTTGCCACAGTTTTCTTTTTAATGAAAAGCTTGGATTAGTAAATTTCCAGTGAACTTAGATTTTGCTGGTATTCTTAGTAGGGGGAAAAAAAACAACCAATTTTTTTTTCTTTCAACAGTTTGTGATGTCCTTCCTCTAATAATTAATAACCCTGATGTTAGATTACCTGCCAGCCTATTATATAAGTATTTGAACAAAGCAGCTGAATTTTATATTAATTATGTCACTAGGTCTACCCAGACAGAAAATCAGCATCAAGGTAAGTGAAACTAGCCTGAAATTGTCAAGTTAAAAACTGAAGAATATGTTTTGAGAAATTTAATGTAATGGTGTTATATCTAATAAGCTTAAAAGTTTTAAAGATTTTATTTGTTTGGTTTTTTGCTTTTTAAAGAAAAATAATGGAAGGCTTTATTCTTTTTGGTGGGGGGAGGAGAAAGGTGGCACAAATCACAAAGTATGTTTCTAATCAGACTGTCTTTCCTGTTTGACCTATCAGTGAACAAATACTTATTAAACATCTGCTCTGTACTAGACATTGGGAATATAGAGACAAAAACAAAATAACCGTTGCCCTTTGGGAGCTTATATTCTATCAGAGGAGCCATGTACACATTTCAATATATAAGGTAATTTCAAAAGGATAAACTAGCATCTGGAGGACAGAGGCAGGGTCAATAGGAGGTGACATTTGAACTTGGAAGGGAATTAGAGATCCTAAGAGGTGAAGAGGAAGTACATTCTAGGCGGGGGCAACAGCCAGTACAAAAGCACACCTGTGGGAGATAGGTTGTCCTGTGTGAGCAGCAGCAAGATAGCCGGTCCGATCAGCCCGTCACATTTGGGGGAAGTCTGGTGCCAGCTTCCAATGACAAACAGGAGTTTGTATTTGGTCCTAAAGGTAATAGGGGGCGACTAGAGCTTAGTGGACAAGAGAGTGATTGTCAAGCCTCTGCTTTAGGAACATCTCTCTGGCAGCTGGGGATAAGATGGACTGTGGAGGAAAGATCCTCTAAGATAGGGTTGTAGATTTAGGGCTGGAAAAGGCCATAGAGGCCATCAAGTCTAACCCCTTCATTTTACAGATGAAGAAACTGAGGCACAGGGAGGTTAAGTGACTTGGCCAGGTGCACAGCTAGTAAGTGTCTGAGGCAGGATTTGAACTCCAGTCTTTCTTATTCCAAGGGCAGTGCCCTATCCACTGTACCATGTTGCCTCTCAAGAGCTGAGGCAGGAAAACCAATTAGAATACCATTGTAGTAGTCTAGGTGAGAGGTGATAGTGGCCTTAAGAAATGACAAGATTTGTTAACTGATTGAATATGTGGGGTTAGGGACAATGAGGAATCAAGAATGACTCTGAGGATGCAAACTTGGGTGACATGAAGAATGGCCACCGAAGACTGGCATGGATTTTATTGTTATTCCATATCATTTTTCTTGTGCTCTCTTCAAAGCCAGGCTGGTTTGGGTCCAAGCTTTAGGGTTCAGATTGTGATTAGTCTGATCTGAGTCTTTTCTCCAATGGCCCTATTTGATCATTTTGGGAAAAGTGGGTAGAAAAAAAGAAGTTGAACAGTTAGAGCAAGATTGAAAATCTTCTAAAGATGCTGGAGAACTGGGTAAATTCAGGGCAGCAATACAGGTTGAATACTTACTGTGTACCTAGCATGATACTAGTTCTTGTGAGGAATAGGGAAATAGGATCATCAAAAGATTCAGTGACAGAGATAATGTAAGAAACAACTAACAGAAAGCAATATATTGAAGTGCCAAAATGTGTTTTACAGATAGAGTGCCATGATGAGAGATCAGAGGATTCATGAAAAAGTTGGGGAAATTTCACAACATAGATAAGAAATGAAAACGGTTTAGGAGTTTCATGGAATCTTTAGAGTAAGAAGGAACTGTTCGTTGATATCTCATTTAGATGTCTGGTCCAGTCTCCTACCAGCATGGGCACCTTATCTTCCACAGTTTTGACTAGTTTTCTAGTCTTTTCATATAAACATTTCCAGGGATGGCTTGCTGCCTCTTTGGGCAGTTCACTCCATTTTTAACAACTTTAATTGTTGGAATGTTTTTCCTTAACTTTAATTGAATCCTGCTTCCCTGTAACTTTGCTCATTAGCCTGAGTTCTGCCCTCTTAAGTAACACAGTAACTACTTCCTCTTCTACACAATGGCCTGTGTAGCCATGTGTTGATATCTGTTATGTCACTCAGGCACCTTCCCCTTCCCAAGCCTTCTCTTCTCCAGGTTAAATTTTCTCAGTTCCTTCAACCACTCCTCATAAAATGTGGCATTCAGAACTGAACACAGTATTGCAGATTTGCCTGATCATTGCCGTATACAGTGGGACTGTTACTTCCCTTGATCTGGACACTACTTGCTGTCATACAACATTAGTGCACAGAAGTTTTATAGAATGCAGCTCAAAATTCTGTTCCTAGCTATACCAGTGTGTGACCTTGACCAAAGACTTCGGGACCTCCATGTCCTAATCTTTCAAATGAAGGTAATGCCTCCTGCTTACCTCACAGAATGTGTGTATGGGAGGGGTGTGGCATGTGGGCTGAGGGGCATTTTTAAAACCAACTAGTCTTACTGTCCATAAAATGCAATATAAGCACCAGATATTTCCCCCTTTACTTTTCAGGAGCCCAGGATACACCTGATCTCATGTCCCCGAGCAAGCGTAGCTCTCAGAAGTATGTTATAGATGGTCTGACTGAAAAATCATCCCAGATTGTAGACCCTTGGGAAAGATTGTTTAAAATTTTGTCTGTCATAGGAATGAGATGCGAGTGGCAGATGGATAAAGGAAGACGGTAAGGAATGGTCTTTCCTCTTGGATTTGGTGTCTGATCTGGTAGCTTTGTAGTCACAGTTCTTTAATAGAGGACAGCTGGTGTGATTTGAAAAGCCTGTTGTGTGGAGGTATACCTTACTTTAAACAAAGTTATATGATCTGCCTTTACATAAAATAAAAGAGGGTATTTGTTTACCAAAGATTTTTTCAGCGTAGTTTAGTATGTATCTGAGACTTTCTTCAGCTATTCTGTTATGTTGTTAACAGCTATAAAACTCATTAAGCATATTTAGACCAGGTGACATCATGTTCTTACCCCTTTGCTGTCCTTTTTGTCTTTGTAAACACAGTGTTTATCACCGTGCTACGTAAGTAGACAGTTTAATAAACATTTGTTGCACATTTGTTTATCTTTCATCTTTCAGAAACCTTGGTGATATTTTGCATCGAATGAAAGACCTCTGCAGATACATGAATAATTTTGACACTGAAACTCACACAAAGTATAAAAATCAAATCGTGTACTCTACAATGCTGGTCTTCTTTAAGAATGCATACCAGTATGTCAGTAGCATACAGCCATCTCTCTTCCAAGGTTTGTCCTGAGAACTTGATGCAGTCCTGAAGTAGTGTTCATTGTGACAGCGGAGTGGTAAAGATGAAAGTTGGTTTTAGGAATAATGTTGATGAAAAGTATAACTGAAGTCCTCATTTTGGGTCAGGGCTTAACTATAGGTGATTTGTTCAGGTTTGCATTAATGTTGGAGTTTTGATTTTTAATTAATGTACCACCACTGAAAGGTCTCTAAGTGTGTGTAAAGAAAATAAATAAATAAATGCCTGTAGCATTAGCAGAATCAGAAAAGAGTGAGAGTTGTGCTCATAGAAACTTCTTGCAAATCAAGTAGCACTTCTAAAAATACTTTTATTTTTACTTGTAGGTCCTAATACTCCCAGTCAAGTTCCATTGGTTCTTCTTGAGGATGTATCAAATGTGTATGGTGATGTAGAAATAGATCGTAACAAACACATACATAAAAAGAGGAAACTTGCAGAAGGAAGAGAAAAAACTATGGTAACCTTTTCATTTATTCAACATGTACACTTATCAGTCGCTATGGTGCTTGAGTTACATCTTTGTATTAGTCTAGGCTATTGTTGTGGGGACCAATTGGAAATTTTTCTTTTGAGATGAAATAACAAACTTAGATGATGCTAGAAGGGCTGGTTAAACAATTATATACCTTTTTAGTCTTTTGTTGCATTGTAAAGCCTGTCCTAGGTGTTGCCTTGGTGATTGGAAGGATGCCACGAGGTCCAGCTTTCCTAAGATAAAACCTGATCTAGTGGGAAAAGAGTTGGGCTTGGAGTAGAGACCTGGGTTCAAATGCCACCTCTGTTACTTGCTAGCTCTGTGAATGTGGGCAAGTCATAGGACCTCTCTCAGCCTTAGTTTCCTCTTCTGTGTAATGGAGATTATAACATTTGTACTTCCTCCCAGAGCTATTGTGAAAACCGAATGATGTCTTATGTATGAAGTGCTACACAAGCGTCAGCTACTCTGGTTAATTTTGTCTGTCCCTAAGACTCTTTTAGGGTACCTGAATTCTCATTGTTACAGACCATTCTTTCGAGTTGTAGCATTAACAGTAGAAGGCTCTTTCGGAACACAGTGTGTTATTTGAGGAGGCTGTGACACAATTATGAGTTCTGTTCTCCCAGCCCAAGGATGCCCTGTCTCGTTACTACAGGATAGACTTTGGGTTCCTTCTTTACTACTACCATCCAAGGAGAAAAAGGGAGGAAGGATCCATAAGAATGTATACTTTCTCCTAACTTCTGTCAGTTTGTTCATTGTACATTGAAAGAGAATACAAACCAAAAATAAACTACTAGTCACGTTCTTCATTTATATACAGTCAACAAATTCCTCATCCTGTCATATGTTTCATATTCAACCAGACTAGGACAGATTTACCAGCACTCAAATAGCCTTTGCTGATGTGACTGTTGAATGTGATTTGAAAGTCCTAAATGGACTTTTCCCAAGTATTGTACTGCCTATCCTTTATCCCATTCAGTCTAATTTTCATTCTAAGGTCAAGTAATCTTCTTTATCTCCTACGGTCTTTGAAGGTCCTGTTTGAGTTCCAGGTCCATTTCTCTGGTTTCCAGTTGTAACAGCACTTTTCCCACAAAGATGTTGCCAAGGGATATCTTTGTACAAATTATAGATGTATAAACATTTTTTTTCCTTCCCCTGTTGGATTATTTACTTCAGGTAATTCTCTGGAGCAGAATCATGAGGTCAGAGAATGTTTATATTAACTTCAGCATACCCGTTTTCTCAGAGCTCCAACATTGGATTATCACAAACATTTTTGAAATAGCATCATAGGTACTGTGCAAAGCACTGAAGATACACAGAGGGGTAAAAGCATGATTCCTGCTCTCACGAAACTTATATTCTAATGAAGCAATATAGCAAAAATTGTACATACTCTACACACACACACACACACACACACACACACACACACACACACACACACACACACACACACACACACTACATGGAAGTTCGTTTCAGAGAAGAGGCACTGCCATGGAGATGGGGACAAGGAAAAGCCACGTACAGAAGGTCGGTTTGAGCTGTGTCTTGAACAAAGCCAGGAGACTGAGACGTTGAGGGAGAGCATTCCAGGCATAATGTCAGCCCATGAAAAGACATGGAGTCAGGAGATAAAATGTCATGTATGAGGAACACTAAGGTCAGTGTTGTTGACTACATAGAAAACGTGGAGGTTTAAGAAGACTGGAAAGGGAAGAAGGGACCAAGTTATAAAGGGTCAAGCATGGGACTTTATATTTAATCCTGAAAATAATAGAAGAGCCACCAGACTTTATTCAATAGGGGAATGATGGAACATAGCTTGAATAGCTTCTTGTTGGATGTACTGAGTGGGGAGAGCCATAAGCCAGGGTGACCAACCAGAGGGCATTTAAGGAGTCCAGGTATGAGGTGATGAGGGCCTTGGGTGGTGGCTGTGTGAATGGAGAGAAAGTGACATATAAAAGAACTGTGAAAGTAGAAACAACAAGTTTTGGCAATAGATTGAGTATTGGATGAGTGTGAGTGAGGATCAAGGAAGACACAAAATTAAGGTGATGATGCCCTTGAATGAATGAATGAAACATTAAACACTATGTACAAAAGGAGGCAGCTAGGTGGTACAATAGATAGAGCACTGGGCCTGGTGTCAGGAAGACCTGAGTTCAAATCCAGCCTCATACTTACTAGCTGTGTGACCCTGCACAAGTCACTTGACCTCTTTTGGCCTTAATCCACCGGAGAAGGAAATGACGAATCACTCCAGTATCTTTGCCAAAAACAAAAACCCAGAAACTATGGACAGTATGATTCACGGCATCATGAAGAATTGGATATGATTAAGGACTGTACAACAAATATATAAAGCACTGGGGATACCAACAATTAAAAGAGTCCCTGATCTTAAGGAGGTCACATTTTAAAGAGGGAGACATCAAATGTAGTGGGTTTCAGCTACAAGTGAAAGGGAAATGTCCCGTGATCTCAAGGTGCAGTGGCAAAGCAGATAGTAATGACTCTTCTTTAATGACATTTCCACTGGTAGAGTCCTATCAATTTCTGATGTTGAACTACTGAACAGTGCCAAAGATGTTAGCGTCAAGAACTTTCTTTTCTGGGTCTATAATAAATGTTGCTATAGCATCTGCAGGATGTTGCCAAACTACATCTTCCCAAGAGTGGGTTCTAATTATGGCTGTGGACTCTGAGCTGGAAGCATTACTATTCCAAAGATTCTTTTTTTGTTTTTTGTTTGTTTTAATTAATTAATTTATTTTTAGTTTTCAATGTTAACCTCCACAACATTGAGTTTTAAATTTTCTCCCCATCCCCTTTCTTCCCTCCCCCACCCCAAGATGGCATACAATCTAATATAGGCTGTACATATACATTCATGTTAAGCATATTTTCTCATTAGTCATGATGTAGAGAACAATTAGACCTAATAGGAGGAACCACAAGAATGAAGCAATAAAACAAAACAACAAAGGAAAAGGAGAGCCAATAGTATCCTTCCATCTGCATTCAGAGTCCGTATTTCTTTCTGTGAGTGTGCATAGCAGTTTCTATCATGAATCTTTTGGAGTTGTCTTAGATTCCTGTGTTGCTGTGAAGAGCCAAGTCTATCAAAGTCATTCATCCCGTAATGTGGCTGTTACTCTGTACAATGTTCTCTTGGTTCTTCTGATTTCTGCATCAGTTCATGTAAGTCTTTCCAAGTTTCTTTGAAGTCTGCCTGCTGATCATTTCTTATAGTAAAATAGTACTCCATTATATTCATATACCCAACTTGTTCAGCCATTCCCCAATTGTTGGGCATCCCCCAATTTCCAAATCTTTGCAACCACATATACATGTAGGTCCTTTTCCCATTTTTTTGATCTCTTTGGGATACAGACCAAGAAGTGGTATTGCTGGGTCAGAGGGTATGCACAATTTTATAGTCCTTTCAGCATAGCACCAAATTGCTCTCCAAAATGGTTGGGTCATTTCACAACTCCACCAGCAATGTGTTAGTATTCCAGTTTTCCCACATCTTCTCCAACATTTATCATTGTCCTGTTTTTTTTCATGTTAGCCAGTCTGATGAATGTGATGTGGTACCTCACAGTCGTTTGAGTCTCTTATCAATAGTGATTTTGAATTTTTTTTCAAATGACTATAAATAGCTTTAGTTTCTTCCTCTGAGAACTGCCTGTTCATATCTTTTGACCATTTATCAATTGGGGAGTATTCCAAAGACTGTTGAGTTCAGGGTCCTGAGCTATCTTTAACAGGATCTAAGAGGAAATGGTGATCAAAGTGGTGGTGGTAGTAGTTGGTGGTTTTACTTTCTGACTTTTTGACTTGTTGCTTCCTGTCTTTCCCTCAGGATTACTTGATAATAATAGAGAAGTTTGGGGAGGGGGAGGCTTTTGTAAGAAAACTGATGAGTTGACATGTTGAATTTGAGTTGCCTATACGTTACCTAGTTAGAGATGTCCAGGAGGAAGTTGTTGCATCACTGTAGGCCAGGAGAGAAGTTAGGGCTGAATAAATTGGGTCTAAGAATCATCAGCATTGAAATGATCATTGAACACATGATTGCTGCTTACATCACTGAGAGAGAGTATAGAGGGGAAAGAGAAAGAGAACGGGACAGACCTTTGGGGGACCCACACTTCTTTGCCTACTTTTCTCAGTTTAATAAATGTGTAATGATTTAATTTTTTAAAATTTTTTAATTTGCATTTTATTAAGTTTTAATTTGCATTTCATTAAGAACAAGTGTGATTTTCACATATGATGATATGCTATCTATTGCCTTTGACTATTTACCAAGTAGAATCTTGGAACTGATTTCATAAATATTTGTATCAGTTCTTTCCATGTTTTGAATAATAACATTTTTAAAAATCAGTTGTTTTTCACTTTCCTTTTGCACAATGAAATGTAATAAAATATTAACCATTTTTAAAATGTGTGTATACTCTAACACATCCATCTTGTCACTGATAATATCCTACATTTCCTTAATAATCAAGAATTATCTTCCCTCCCTAGCTAGGATAAGTATTTTCTGTTTTATTCTAGTGTTTTAAAAATTATTAATTTGTTTGTCCATCAGGAACTTATTGCATTGTATAGCATGAGAGATGGATCCAAGTTCATTCTTTATTGATTTTTTTTAGTCCAGAATTATAATTTCTTTGTAAGGAAGCTCCCTCTATTGATGCAGATCTGTATCTGTTCTACAATTTATAATATTAGAGTTGCCTGAACAGTTAGAGGTTAAGTGATTTGCCAGAGTTACACAGCCGTTATGAGTCAGACTTGAGCATAAGTCTTCCTAATTCTGAAATTGGCTCTTTATGCACATACCAGGGGTTGACAAACTATTACCTCAAGAGCCAAATCTACCTGCTTCCTCATTTTGTATAGCCTCCGAGCTAAGAATGATTTTTACATTTTATTTATTTGTTTGTTTATTTTTAAGCAGTTGGGGTTAAGTGACTTGCCCAGGGTCACACAGCTAGTAAGTGTCAAGTGTTTGGTCTGAGGTGAGATTTGAACTCAGGTCCTTCTGACTTCAGGTCTGGTGCTCTATCCACTGCACCACCTAGCTGCCCCCTACATTTTTAAATACCATAAAAGATTAATGTAAAAAAAGATAAAATGTAAAAATCGTCCTTGGCCCTCTGTGCCAAATGGTTTGCTGACCAAAGTTTGATTGGGGATATAACAAGCAGCCATATCTGAGGCCCTCTATTACTGACCTTCATTTGGCTTGTACCTTCCCCATAGTTCCATGAGTTCTGCTCCCTTACCTGCCACTGTGCTTTTCTTTTATCTCAAAGCCTTAGTTAACGCTGCTAATAAGAAACTTTTTCATTCTGATTTCCTACTCTTGACAACAGTACACACAGAGTAGAAGACTACCATAGTGTATAAGGCACATAAAATCACAAGAGAAGATCAAGGATAGAATAGCTAATCCTGAATCTTGTGGGAGTGTCACATTACCCAAGATGATCTGACTTTTACCATCTCTGTGACCCTGTGCAAATCAGTCATTCAGTAGTAAGTGTTAAGCACCTGCTCTGTGCCAGGCATGATACTTAACAGCTGGAGATACAAGGACAAGTGAGACAGCCCTGTTCTGGAGGAGCTCACAGGCGACCTGCCTTTGTTGATTGGTTGGTTGGTTGTTGTCCTGGCTCTTGAATTTATAGAGATATTCTTTACTATGTTAAAGAAAATTTCATTTATTCCTACGCTTTCTAGAGTGTTTAATAGAAATAAGTACTGAATTTTGACAAAGCCTTTTTCAGCATCTATTGATATTATGTTTTTTTTATTATTTATGTTATTAGCATGGTATATTATATTTATAGTCTTCCTTATGCTGAACCAATCCTGCATTCTTGGTATAAACTCAGCCTGGTCATAGCGTATCATCTTTCTAATATATTGTGGTAGGCTGCTTGGTTATATTTTATTTAAAATGTTTGTATCAGTATTCTTTAGGGAATGTTGGTCTTTAGTTTTCTTTCTCTGCTTTGTCTCCCTGGTTTAGGTTTCAAAATCATCTTTATATCATAGTAAGATCGGAAAGTTTCTACTTTTTGGATTATAAATCAATTTTTCAATATTTGGTTGAATTTACTTATAAATCCATTTGACCTTGGAATTTTTTTCCTCTTTGGGAGTTCATTTATGGCTTGTTCAGTTTTATTTGTTTGTTTATTGATGCTGGGTTAGTTAAATAGTCTATTTCTTCTTTTGTTAACGGATATTTTGTATTTTTGTAAATGCTCATCCATTTCCTCTAAGTTATAGACATATATAATTTGGCAAGATACTTTCTGATAATTTCTTTTGTTTCCTCTTCAGTTATTATGGGTTTTTTTTCCATTTTGATAGGTACAATTTGGTTTTCCTTTTTTTTTTTTAAACCAAAGTAGCCATTTATTTTCTTACTTTTTCTTTGTCTCTTTTGTTAATAAAAGCATTTAAAGTTATAAGTTTTCCCCTAAGAATTACTTTAAGATGGATCTCCATTTTGCTAAATTGTTTCTTTGTTGTCATTTTTCTTCATTGAAATTTTCTGTTAATTTTTGTAATTTGTTCTTTGACCATCAGTTCTTTAGTCTCTAATTACTTTTTTAAACCTTTTAAACACCTTATTGAATATATATATTTTATTGCATTGGGATCAATAAATTTAATATTTCTTCTTTATTTTTGGAGAGGTCTTTGCGCCCCAACACATGGTCAGTTTTTTCTTAAGTACCATGTATGACAGTATGTAAATCCTTTCTATTCCCATTCAGTAATTGTCAGAGATTTATCATATCTAATTTTTCCAAATTTCTATTTAGTTCCTTAACTTCTTTCTTATTTATCTTCTGGTTAGATTTGTCTAGATCTGAAAGGTATGTGGTAAGATCTTTCACTGTTATAGAAGCTTAATTTTCAAGACTTAATTGCTAGGAGGTGGAGAACTCCCTACATATTATTTTTTTATTTTATTGTATTTTTATCATATTATTGTATCTTTATTTGTTTACTGTAGTATTATATCTGAGTCATAAGGATGTCAGACTTGGTTTTTGTCCACACCTAAACAAGAGTCACTTTTACAATCTTCCTCAAAAGTTGTTATCAGCCTCAAATCAGTTTACTCTGTACGAGGCATCTACCCAGTCACCTCTAGTGAGAGAAAATTACTGCCTTTTAAGACAAGCCATTTAACTTTTGGATAGTTGTCTATGTTAGGAAATTTTTCCTTACATTGATCCTCTGTAGTTTTGTCCTCTGGGGCAAGGCAGAGCAAGTTCAAATATTCTTCTACATGATAACCCTTTAAGTACTTGGAGACAGCTCTCATTCTCCACTCCTGTCTCCTGTTCCTCAGCGTGATTTTATTATTAGGTACACAGAGTTAATCATGATGAAAGCATATATTAGGAACTTAATAAATCTTTGAGGGATTGACATTAGCCTCTTATCTAATCTTCTCTGTTTCTAATCTATAATATGCTATCTTTGCAATATCCAGAAATAAAAGCAACACATTTATTTAAAAAATGATATGGAATAGATATTAGTTATAAAAGGTGGCATTAAATACATTATTCCTATTTTTTTAAAGCAGAGTTCTGATGATGAAGAATGTTCAGGGAAAGGAAGAAGCCGGCACATTGTAGTTAATAAAGCAGAGCTTGTCAATTCGGTTGAAGTCCTGGAAAGCTTCAAATTGGCACGTGATAGCTGGGAGCTACTCTATTCCCTGGATTTCCTTGACAAGGGTAAGGAATGTTCTCACATTGTACTGCTTGTGTGTGTTATTTCAACAGTGCCTAGTTAGGGCTGTACAAATCATTGGCACCAGTACACCACGTTAAGTCTTTTTTATTTTTGAACAGAAATCATCCATTGCAAATGTTGCTTTGTGGTTTTGAAATGCTATTTCTTGGCTGTACATGATGATTTTCAAGAGTATCGTATAAACACTCTCATATTTTTGTCCTTCCCCCTCCAATTCTTTTCACTCTTTGCTATGGTCTTTTGTTCTTTCTTATTCTCTGGTGGCTCTTCCAAGACATAGTGGTTGAATATACAATAGAATAAATGCTTGATACTTTTAGCTTCACACCTTTGCCCACACTTTTTCCTAAAAGCAGGCATATCTGTAACTGTAACCTGCCATTTTGGGTGGAGGTGGAGTCGGGGGCAAGTTATGAAAATAAGGAAGAGGGAAAGTTTTACACTGTAGTGAAAAGTAGAATAGCTGAACATTTACAGATTCCTTTACCATGGATTTCCTGATCGTGATCATTTTTGCTGAATTTTTTGGAAGTAGAATGGTTCCTTCTTTTACATTGCAGTATAACCAATAATATCATTCACCTACTGGCCTCCTTGCAGAGCTGTTACTTGGTATCCTTCCTAACTCCTCCAGATGGAATATTCTAAGATTCTTCAGCTAGTCTTTGTATAAGATCTAAGGATAGCCTCCACTGTCCTGGCCACCCTGTTTTGGGTGTTGCCCAGCTTGCCAGTGAATTCCTTAAACTATTGTGCCTAGAGCTCAACGCAATATTCCAGATTTAGCCTGATCGGAGAAGAATACTGTGGGACTGTCGCCTGCTTTTTTTTATATACTATTGCTCCATCATATTTGATTCTTAGGGAGCTTGCAGTTCACCAGAATCCCCATCATCTTTTTCAGATCAAATGCTATCTAGCCATGTTTCTCCCTTCTTACACTTATGAAGCTAATTTTGGGAACCAAAGTACAGGACTGTACATTTATCCCTCTTAAACTTCATCTGATTATATTCAGCCCAGAACTGCAGCTTGTTGACGTATTTGTGGATCCTGTTGTACAACACGTTAGTTTTCCTTTCCAGTGTTATGTCATTTGTAAACTTGATATGTCTTAATTCAGGCTATTAGTAAGTGACAGATTCGTTCAGATGTCAGCTTCCACGGTAATATTGACCCAATAATATTTATTCTTTTTGGTATGGTTATTTAACCAATTATAGATTCCCACTTATTTTCCACTTTTGTTCAGTGCTGTACTGAAATCTAGGTAAACTAGATACCCATTTATAGAATTTCCTTGACATACAAATTCCCTGACATTTTTCAAAGGGAAATGAAGTAAATCTGGCCTGATTTACTTTGTTATTTCTTAGTGATTACTGCTTTCTTTTATAGATGTTTACTGTCTCTTTATTAATATCATGTTCTAGAATTTTGCCAGGAATCAAAGTCATGGTCAGTAATCTATAATTTGAAGACTTTACCTTCTTTCATATTTTTGAAAATTAGAACGTTTCACCCTACTCCAGGCTCATAGTGTCTTTCCCATTTCAGGCATTGCTAATAGTGACTCAGCAGTCACAACATCAGATTCTTTCTGTGTCTTGGACCTGGTGACTTGAACTCTTTGAGGATGGCTAGGTACTCTCTTCACTTCTTTTAGGTTTCTTCTCTTTATTATCCACATTGTTCTGTCCATTCTTTCCAAAGATCCTTGGCAGCAAAGACAAGCAGGATGAAAGATGTTGCTTATAATTGTCTTCTCCCCTCTGCCATGTCCCTCCAGTCATTTTATTTTACCTTAAAAATTGTCTTTTTTCTTATCTGTTGCATTCCTTGCTAAGTTCAACTCTGAGTTTTTTCTGTCATTACATTATTCTTACAGCTTTCTCCATTGTAGAGTATTCTCTGTAGTATCATACTTTTATGTTCATCCTCCATTAACTGCCATTACTTATATATTCTGATTTAGTTTGTTTTTTCCCTTAAAATAGGTTGAGGAGTAGGTAGGATAAAGTGTTCATTGTCTGTAATTTTATTATAGATAAGTTCCCCTTTTTCCTCCTCATCAGAATTGATTCTCTTTTTGTTTTTAGAATTTCATGCTTGAGAACTTAATCCTGAATTAACTTCCCCTATAAAACTTTTAGTCATATAATCTTGTTTCTCCTTTCTTTGAATGCTTTGACATTTGTTCTCCTACAATCTAGGGTGCTTGTCAGAATCAGCATCTTCCTTCTCTTCTTTGATGGATTCTGAGATGAAGTGAGCACTTCCCCTAAAGGTCCACTCATTTCTACTTCAGCAACCAACTTTACCTTGGTGGTAAGAACTAGGTATCAGAGAGCGTTTCTACTTGTGGCTTCATCTGCCACTTTTGAATTATGAAATTATCATTAAGTAGGCCAAGGAATTACTACTCTGATTTTGAAAGAGAGCACCAAAAGATGTCCACATGAGAACAATATATCATCGCTAACATAGCATGCCTATATTCCATGCATGACTTACAATCCATTTCTGTAATTTTTTATCTGTACCCTCCTTCTGTCCAGGTAGCCCATGATATGCTCCCAAGACAATATCATTTCCGTTTTTTCCTCCACAGAGCTTTACCCAGACTTTCCTTACTTGATGCCCACTCTTCCCCACTCCCATCCTTTTCCTGGTTTTCCTCACATAAATATATCTACTTAGTATAAAGTTCTACTCCATTTGCTTTTCCATAAGGCATACTCTAGAGCCATATTCTGGTTATGGCACTGATGCGGTAAAATTTGCTGCATTGTGTTAGAATCTCTAGCTCACCTTGGTTGTTCTCCATCCTTTGTGTCACCACCCCCATTGCTAGGGTGAGAGGTAGATGAATTCCTGGAATGTCAGATTGCAGCTGTGGAGCATGTTTCAGAATGAAGTATGGTGTAGTGGATAGAGTGCTGGACTTGGAGCTCTGAACATCTGGGTTTGGATTGTGCCTCTGTCACACTGTCAGTGTGTGATCATGGGCAAGTCCTCTAACCACTCTGAGCCTCAGTTTCTTCATCTATAAAGTGGGGGTGACTAACACCTGTAATCCCAACCTCACAGAGTTATTGTAAGGATCAGTGAGAAAATGTACATATTTTCTAGACTTTTAAGTGCTGTATAATTACCAGCTATCATTAATACTTGTTTTCATCATCGTCATCATCTTGTTCCATGGAGTGGATGCAAATGGTCCAAGAACAAGTCACTCCCACTATTATTCTGTTATTTTTAATGTTCAGTGAACTGTTGAACAAGTGGCTAAAAAGACTTTTTGTAGCTGAATAAAAATATTAGGGTGTAAAGCCGTATTTCATGGGCTCAATGAAAGCAACTCCAAAGGCAGGCAGAATGATGGGAATTATCCTATCAGGATGAATATATACTTAATCTTTTTCTCAGAGTTACTCATTTATTTATTTGCCTGTACAAACACTATTGCATATGGTTGTTTTTTTGTTGTAATGTTATTAGCCCATTATAGGATAAGTAGCCTTTTGGAGGCTTCCAGCCATCATTTGTCATATTGATTGTATGGATGACCTGATTTCCAAAAACCCGCCTTCAGACTTTTGGAGTATGGCCCATTTATGGCTGTATAGGCTTTTGGCTCGCATAGCTGTCTATGGCAGTGGTAAAGTGCTAGTGTGAATGTGTGATCAGATTTCTAACCCATCCTAAAATTTTGAACCAGCATGTCCTTTAAAATTTTTTTAAATCTGACCGAAGATATGTGACACTTGCTAGCTGTGTGCCCCTAGGCAAGTCATTTAACCCCGATTGCCTCACCGAAAAAAAAAGTAAAATTTTTTTGAACACATACACATATATTAATTGACAAGCATTTATTTTTTCTCTCCCACAGCTTCCTTCACGTGCTTAAAATTTTAGTAACATATAAATGTAAACATATAAATGTAACATGACTATAAGAGTATTCTGTAAATTTTAAATTTGGAAGATAATTGGGAATCATGGTGTATTGTCATTTTTCCTGAATGAAAACAGCTCTGTAAAAACAACAACATATTTAGAAAGATAAGTGAATAGAAATTAAAATGTTTAGTATTATTGTGCTTTATTTATTTCCCTGTATGTCCAATCAGATTTTTAGATGTTGCCTTAGAAATCAAGGTTAGGGGCAGCTAGGTGGCACAGTGGATAGAACACTGGCCCTGAAGTCAGGAGAACCTGAGTTCAAATCCTACCTCAGACCAAACACATGACACTTACTAGCTGTGTGACCCTGGGCAAGTCACTTAACCCCAATTGCCTTTAAAAAAAAAAGAAAGAAAGAAATCAAGGTTAAATAATTATATTCTTTTCTGTAAATTTGCCTTTTTGTTTCCCACAGAATTTACAAGAATATGTTTAGCATGGAAAACAGATACCTGGCTTTGGCTACGTATCTTTCTCACTGACATGATTATCTATCAGGTAAAATGGAACATACTAAATTCCATTTGTACAGATCTTGCTTGTATTGTATTTTAATGAGTGCAGCATTTCATTATACTATCAAATGATCTACATGTGCTTTTAAATATTGCCCATTCATAGGCGAGATAAGTATTGTCCATTGATAGAGTTCTCAGTTCATGTGTACAGTAATATATAAATATCTTTTGTTACGTATGAATATAAATATCTTTTCACTGTAAGGAAAAAACAAACTGCCCTAAACCCATCACAAAAAAAAACCTTGGAGGTTTTTTTGAAGTAGAAGAGTGACTTTCCAGACCTTTTTCTGCTGAGGTATGGCCTTTGTGGCCTTAGAACTGAATCATCTAATCTTAAAGTAAGGAAAGTAAATGATCAAAGAATAAAATGGAAGAAGAATATTCTGCTTGGCAATAGTGAGAAGGACAGGGAGGAAGGACAATTAGGTTTATTATGTTTATAATTAAATAATGTTTATAAAATAATGATTAAATAATTTTAATAATTAATATAATTTTATATTATATATAAATATAATAAATAATTTAAAGAGCTGGAATTCATATGGACTTGGATCATTTTAACTAATTTTATGAAGTTTCTCTGGCTTACAGAAAAATAAGGAAAGTAAATGATCTAAGTAAAATGGAGAAAAAAGTCAGAAGTGCAAAGGTGAATGGTTAAGGAATGATAACTTAAAGGAAGAAATTGTTTTAATGGTCATTTGATTTTCTCTTTCCCTGTGTGAATGACCAGCTGTAAAGAAGATGGTGATAGCAATTTTACTTTCTCTGACTAATTTTTACATTTATGTCTCTTAGCACAAAACTAATTTTGGAGATTGTGTTTGATCTCAGATCATTGGTTCTTTGGTGGCTTATACCCCCTAAAGGCTAGAGATGGTAATTACAGTTTCGCAGAGGTTAATGTGATCATATTAAACTGTAAGACTCGTGGAGTCTAGAAGAGAAAATCTCTATGCCTTTTAGGTGAGATTCTATAAACTCTGTGTAGCTTTAAATAATACCATTCCAGAATTGCCTTGCTACTTACCAGAAGGTCAAAGTATAACCAGTTATTTACAATTACTAGGCTATTTCTACCTGATTGACGCTGGAAATGTTTTATAAAATAAGGTTTTTATCCCTTTCTATAAATACTATTTCTACTTTTTTGTGGCTTATAAGGGGCAGTATAAAAAGGCAATAGCCAGCCTACATCACTTAGCCGCTCTTCAGGGATCACATCCTCAACAGCAGATTACTGGACAAGGAACACTAGAACATCAAAGAGCACTCATCCAGTTAGCAACTTGTCACTTTGCTCTTGGGGAATACAGAGTAAGTACCGTGTGTGTTCTGAACGTACCCACAAATGCATTTAACCATTTCTGGCACTTTTACATTGTTAGACAGTTTTTTTTTTCTCATTTAACTGCGTCTTTACAAAGTTCTGGGCCTTTAGACCTAAAACATTGAAATCATCTTCGACTATTCTTGCCTTCATTATCTATATCTAATACATCACCAATTTTTTGATTCTTGCTTCATGTTGTCTTTCAGATTGCTTCCATCCTTTTTATTCCCACTAATACCAACCTACATCGGATTCCCTTAAGTTCATATGCTGACTGCTTTACCTCCTTCTACTTAATTTCCTTGTTTCTGGTCTCCCTTCCTTTCAGTCATCTCAGAGTTTATCTTCTTAAAATGGTTCTTTAATTATGCCATTCAGTTAACCAAATATGTAACAAACCTATGATCTTCTTGAAGGCAAAGACTTTCTTTTTTGGCTTGTATTTATATCTCCTGCACTTAACCTAGTGTCTGGCCTTTAGTGTAGTGGGTATTTAGTAAATGTTTATTGATCGATTGGGGAACATAGAAGTATAAGACAACATGGTCCTTACCCTTAAGAAGCTTATAACTTAGTTGGGGGATACAGATGCCCCACTTGAAACCACTTGAAACCATTAGAAAGCCGTGTAAGATACTTTTCAAATGGAAAGTCATGTGGTACAGTCTGTAAATATAATTGATGATAAGAGAAGGGTAAAATCACTGTGGTTCGCTAAAGTAGTCTATGAAGAATAATACTTCCTTGAGTACGTAAGACTGGAAGGAGTCCTTAAAGGGTAAAGGATAAAATTTAGAGAGGGAATAATCATTTCATATTGTTAACTGGATCAAGAGACCTTGGAGGATATTTAGTCCAACCCCTCCGTTTATAGATGAGGAAAGTGAGGCCCAAAGAGGTTGAATGACTTACTCAAAGTCACATAGTAGCAGAGAGGAGATTTAAACCCAAGTCCTCTGATTCCAAATCCAAAACTCTTTCCATTATTCCAAACTGAGAACTGGCATTCTCACTTCCTGCCTTAACCATCCAACATTATAGCCCTGTTTTCTAATATGCCTGTAGGCAGCTTGTGTTACAGAGGATGGAAAATATGACATGAAGTTAAGAAGACCTGAGTTCAAATCCAACCTCAGATACTCACTAGCTGTGTGAGCCTAGGCAAGTCACTTACCTCTGTTTGCCTTAATTTCTTCATCTGTAAAATAGGGATCTATCATGCAGGATTGTTGTGAAGATCAAATGAGATAATCATTGTAAAGCAGTTAGCATAGTGCCTGGCACACAGTAAATGCTATATAAATATCAGCTATTATTATTATTATCATTAACAACAACAACAATAATAATAGGTGTTTGCTAAAACTTGGAGTTGAATTGAATCAGGTGATTGTCCTTATTAGAGAGGCACCATTGTGTAGTAAAAATGGCACTGGATTTTGTGTCATGGAGTCTAGGTTTGAATCCTGCCTTTGCCACTTACTAAGAAGGAAGGAGGGAAGGAAGAGGTCAGTATTGCTGAATCACTGAGTACATGAGGGGATGGGATGGTGCAAGTAAGGTATAAGGAGACTGGAAAGGCAGGAGGGGGCCAGATTGTAAAGGACTTAGAATGACAGACGAGGAGTTTTATATTTGATCCTGCATGCGGCAGGGAGCTGCTAGAATGTATTGAGTGGGAGGGGTGACATAGTCAGACCTGCACTTTAGAAAGATTAATTTGATATCTAAGTGGAGGGTTGTAGACTGGAGTAGGAAGAGACTTGAGGTTGGGAAACCAAGCAGATATTTTTCCTGTCTAAATCCTATCCACCCTTCAAAAGGCTATTTCGCATCTCGTCCCTTCCATGGAATGTTGCTCTTCAATTTTAGTGTGTACTGGATTCTCCTTTGCTGAATTCCTAGAGCACATATGGTTCCTGCTATATCTTTTATGAATAAATGCCTACCTCATTAAATCATTGTGAGAAAAATACTTGTAAAATCTTATTAGATTGCTATAGAAATGTGAAAGTTTTTTGACTTACATATCTTTGAATAGTACAATCTTACCTACGTATCAAACAGTCAGTAAACACTTGCTGGTGTCTTGGCTTATATATTTTTATGTTTTGGCATTGTTACTCAAAAGGATAGATGTTGTTCCCTCAAAGAGGAAAACTAGACTGATTTAATTTTAGTCTTAGTTTCCTCATAAACAATGTGATAATCCCATAAAAAGAATACACATTTATTATGGGGTGGGGCGAAAGCCTTCAGATACACATTTTTTGCCCTGTATTTCCCTTGATTTGTGCACTGCTAATATGTAATTTGAGTCTTTTTTTAGGACAGCTTCAGATTAATATATATGCATGTATTTACATGTGACTATATATGTAGACACATTTATGTAAATATGTTTACTTTTGACACTTTTTTTGCTATTTAGTTGACATGTGAAAAAATTCTGGATCTTATGTGCTACATGGTACTTCCCATTCAAGATGGAGGAAAACCTCATGAGGAGCCTTCTAAAGTAAAATCCAAGTTTAGAAAAGGTAAGGTTGAAAAATTAAGTTTGGATTTTATTTTTGTTTAATTTTAGGTCTCAAGGGAATTAAGAATACTTTTTAACATTTATTAGTAAAATAACATTATTATTAGTCCTACAAGCTTCACAGTTTTGTGTATTTAAATTGCCTTAATTTTTTTTACAGCTTACAACTCATCTGTGACTTAGTAAGTAAGTCCTAGTAAGTTACTAGAGGCATATGAAGGTTAAGTGCCCAAGCTCTCATAGCTACTATGTGTCAGAGGTAGGATTTGAACCCAGGTTTTCTGGACTCTGTCTGTCATGCCATACCTCTCTGAAAAGAGAGAGGTAGTGTTGCATGGTGGATAAAGGACCATTCTTAGTGTCAGAAAGAACTGACTTCAAGTTCCACCTTTGACATTTACTAGCTCTGTGACTTTCTGTGTGTTTGAAGCAACTCTCTAAAATTACAAATTGCAGCCATGCTGCTGATCTGCATTGACAACTCCATTCTTGAGGGGGAGTTTCCTCATAAGGAGTTTTTACCAATGAAATCACAGATCTGACAACACCAACACCACCCCCCATGGACACTTCTTAAAGTTTGTGATTGCTTTGAACACATGAAATAATAAGGATGGTATTTGGAAGGCTATTTTACACGTGTAGTACTTATGCCAGTGAGCTTCCATACTGTATATATATTTCTGAGGCCTACTAAATGAGTATGACTGTATTTCTCTGTAAAGTCCAAGGGCCTTGATAACTAGGGTTATAGATGATCCATGTTATGCTTCCCCTGGTAACCACTATCCTATTAATAATAGCTAAAATAATAATAGGTAGCATTTATAGGTTTGCAAATCACTCTACAAATATTATCTCATTTTATCCTCATAGTAACCCTGAGAAGTAGGTGCTATCATTATTATTATTCCCCATTTTACAAATGAGGAAACTGAGCCAGGATTTCCTAGGGTCACACAACTAATATGAGGTAAGATTTGAATTCAGTTCTTCCTGACTACATATCTAATACTCAATCTACTGTGCTACCTAGATAAAAAAAAATCATCTAGAAAGTCTATATGTGGGATAAAAGAAGAGTTGGAAAGAAATCTGGTGGAGTTAACAGTGAAGAGGTGGATAGGGAGTATTATGGGCAGAACCTATCAACACACTGCTTACAGGGAAATCAGTGCTTTTTTTTGTGAAACTATATTTCAACATGGGAGGGTACATAAAGGGGGAGAGGAGAACAGGGAGAGAGGAGTAAATGATACGCCAAGGCCAGTTTGGAGGCTAGCAGTGAGGGAAAGATGACCTATGTGCTCTCAAAAAGAAAAGAGCTTACAAAGGACTGGATGAAGAGGAGGGGTGGGAAAGATTGAAAAGGTAGGAAAGGAAAAAGACCTTACTTTGGAGGAGGTTCCACTAATAAATGCTCCTATGAATGAGGTGAGATGGTCAGTCACTAATGCAGTAGTGGAGATGTGAATCAATCTGACCATTCTGGAAAGCAGTTTGGAACTATGCCTGAAGGGCTATAAAATTGTGCATACCCTTTGATGCAGCAATACCACAACTAGGTCTATATCCCAAAAAGATCATAAAAAAGGGAAAAAGACCCACATGTACAAAAATATTTGTGGCAGTCCTTTTTGCGGCAGCAAAGAGTTGGAAATTTGGGGGATATCCATCAATTGGAGAATGGCTGAGCAAGTTGTGATACATAAATGTAATAGAATACTATTGTGCTATAAGAAATGATGATCAAGCAGGTTTCAGAAAAACCTAGAAAGACTTGTGCGAACTGATGCCGAGTGAAGTGAGCAGAACCAGAACACTGTACACAGTAACAGCAACATTGTGTGATGATCCACTATAATTGGCTTAGCTCTCCCCAGCAATACAGTGATCCAAGACAATTCCAAAAGACTCATGATGGAAAATGCTATCCACATCCAGAGAAAGAACTGAGAGAGTCTGAATGCAGATCAAAGCATACTATTTTCACTTTATTTTTTTTATTATCGTTTTGCAAACTATTTCTTCTTCTACAACATGACAAATATGGAAATAGGTTTTATATGATTGCACATGTATAACATATCATATTGCTTACCATCTTAAGGAAGAGGGAACGTAGGGAGAGAGGAAGAAAATTTTGAACTCAAATTTTTATTAAAAATGAATGTTAAAAATTGTCTTTACACATAAGTGGAAAAAATAAAATACTATTTTAAAAGAGAGAGAGAGAGAGAGAGAGAGAGAGAGAGAAAGGGTTAGCAAAGGGAGATGAAGACTTTATGCTGGATCAGACCTGGGGAATTTGGTGTTTGAAAAGTCTGCTTGTCCTGGTCATGGGGGAGTTGGATCCCCTGGAAGGGTGGGACAGCATGGACACAGGGAGGAGGTTTCCAAGCAAATGTAGAAAAAAGGGACAGTATGATAAGGTATAGATCCGTGATGGGGCATGGACCCTACTGTAGATCAGTGTCCTCTCTGATATCTTCAGTAATTGGCATTGTTCTGAGGATGAGGAACAATGGAAAAGAGAAATCCATGGGACAAGCCCTATAAGTAGTGGGAAAAGCACCTAGAGGGGAGAACCTAGAATGGATATTTTGGACATTTTGATTGTGTGAGAAAGACCAGATTGGTCATGAGTCAGAGAACAAGGGTCTAGAGTAAAGAGCAGGGGGAGCAGCTAGGTGGTGCAGAGGATAGAGCACCGGCCCTGAAGTCAGGAGGACCTGAGTTCAAATCCAACCTCAAACCAAACACTTGACACTTACTAGCTGTGTGACCCTGGGCAAGTCACTTAACTCCAATTGCCTAAAAAATAAATAACAGAGTAAAGAGCAAGGGAAGATGGTTAATGAAAAGAGTGAGAGAAATCCTTTTTTGGACAAGGGTGCAAAAAATGAAATTTAAAATCTTAGAAACAGGACTAGCTAAAGGGGAGGAGTAGAAGGGGATGTCTACTAAAAGGAAAAGGTGGCGGGCAGGGGACATACATAAAATCAGGAGAGAAAAGGGAAACTAATAAACAAAATCCTAAAGGGAAAGGGGTATCAGAAAAGAAGAGGGGATCAGAATCAGGAGAAGGAAGCCATTGAAAATGTGACCACCTTAAAAAAAAGATTCATATAAAGTAATGGAAGGAGCATGATACAGTGTTTACAGCAGAAGAGGGAATTTGAACTGAAAAGCTGCATAGGCACATTAATGCATTTAGGATAAGAAGAGAAGTGGTCAAATGGAAAATAATCTTTGTATCAGATTTTTTTGGTAAGAGTTTAATATCTAAGATATATAAACAGTTAATAGATATCTTTTTATATAAGACTAATAGCCACTCCCTAGTAGATAAATGGTCGAAGGATATGAATAAACAGTTCTCAAAAGAATTACAAAGTATTCTCAACCACAAGAAAAGATGTGTCAAATCACTAATAATAAGACATACAAATCAAAAGATCCCTGAGGTTTTACCTTACACTCTGCAAATTGGCAAAAATGGCAATAGTCAACGTTGGAGGGGTTGTGGAAAAATAGTATATTGCTGGTAGAGCTATGAAGAAGTATAACCATTTTGGAAAGCAATTTAAAATTATGCAAATAGAGTGAATAAAATGTCCATACCCATTAAGCTCAAGATTCCATTACTGGGCTTATCCCCAGGGAAACTATTGATTTAAAGGGGGGAAAAGTATCCATATACTCCAAAATATTTATAGCAGCACTTTTTGTGATAGCTAAGTACTGAAAACAGAGTTGATGCCCATCAGTTGGGGAGTGGCTAAACAAATTGTGGTACAAGAAAGTAATGGAATGTATTCTTGTGCTGTTAGAAATGATATGTGATGAATACAGAGAAACATGGGAAGATCTATATGAACCGATGCACAATGAAGTAAGGAGAGCCAGCAACTACAACATTGCAAATGGAAAGAACAATGACACACTAGAAATTCACAAGTACATGTGGCAAAAGTATACAGATTAAGTGGGATTCAAATGAAATATGAGAGGACATCCCCAACTTAACTCTCTGTGGAGGTGGGAGGTCCACAGATGTAACACATTGTGTATGTTTTGAGACTTTTTTTCCCTCTCTGGAAAATACTATGTCTTATGACATGGCTTTCTGAGAGGAGGTGGGGCAAGGTTACATATATGAGATACTGGTGGTGAAACATAAAATATCAATAAAAATTTCATTTTTTTTAAGAAGCCCTACCCAAAAAAAAGTCTGTATGTTCTAAAAGTACTTGAACATGTTATTTATATTGAATGTATACTGCTGGATGTAAAACATAGGCTAACTCTTAGGCTGACTTTTTATTGTTGCTTCATCCTTCCTACTTTGGCATGCCATGTAGCTAGCTCATTTGTGATTCCAGCAGAATTTGGGACTGGGGAGAAAAGGAAATAAAACTATTTTTTGCTACTTGTAAAAAAATTTTTTTTAATTTAAAACTATACACCTTTTAAAAGGCTTAGATAGGACCAAGGTTGGCTTTTGAATTGGAGTTCAGTTATCAGTCTCCTATTGATCATTGATAGTCAAGAGCTGTATGTCCTTAAAATTGTGACTTCTGTCATCTTTTTGATTGAAAACATCTTAAATATTTGCATCATAAAGTTTCCTTTCTTTAAGCTAACAAATGTATTTTTTTTTAGGATCAGATTTGAAACTTCTGCCTTGTACTAATAAGGCTATTATGCCTTATTGCCTCCATTTAATGTTAGCCTGTTTTAAGGTAAGCCTAAAGATATTCATTGGGATTCTTGCTTAATTTAAAATACTTTATAATATTTAAAAATTTTTTATTTTTTTAAGTCAGTGGAACAAATACATTCTATAACATTTAATTATATGTGTGTTTTATTCCATTATGTACCTTTTAAAGAAGAACATTTCTCTAAGGAAGAAATAATATTCTTCCAAAGAAAGATTTTTTTGTGGATAGTAATATTTTTCTAAAAATCAAGTTAATTTTATTTTCAAGTTTGCATTGTCTCCTCCCATTTTCCACTTCATATTGAGAAAACAAGAAAAACAAAACTCCCTGTTATAAATCTGTATAGTCAAGCAAAACAAATCCCCACGTTGGCCATGTCCAAAAAATGTCTCAGTCTTTGCATGTTACTTTTAAAATGTTAAAATTTAGAAATAAAAGATGTACTTTTCACATCATAATTTGCTGGCGGTGGGGAGGGAGGGGGTCCCTTCCCAATGTTATTTGTTTAGATACCAGAGTGCTGTATCTGTTAGAAACCTTAAAGATCATCTATTCTGAATCCTTCGTCTCTAAAGTAAGAAGGTGCAGATCTATCAGGGATAAGTGACTTGGCCTAAGCAGTGAATAACAGAGCCAGAGTTTCTATTACATGTTCAGTGGCAGTTTAATGGTAAGGCTAGCTCTAGAGCAAAGGCTGCAGTCCAGAGCTTTCAGGGGCTTCAAGTATTCATGGGAATTACCCAGGTTAATAATAATTTAATGAGGGGCAGCTAGGTGGCACAGTTGTTAGAGCTCTGTCCTTGGAGTCAGGAGGACCTGAGTTCAAATGTGGCCTCAGACACTTGACACTAATTAGCTGTGTGACCCTGGGCAAGTCACTTAACCCCAATTGCCTCACAAAAAAAAAAAAAAGGAGGGGCAAAAAAAAAATTTAATGCTCCAATCAGTTGAGGTGATGGTCTTCAAAGGCAACATCATATATGGTAATTGCTCTAAATTTGGAGGAGCAGCCTCAGTGGGGAAGGGCCTGCTGCCGTTCTTAGGCTGGTTGGGAGTCCTGGAGTTAAGTTTCAGTTCTGCTGCTGTTGATACTTTCTCAGTTTGAGCTAATCACTTTACTTCTCAGGACCACATTTTCTTCATCTTAGTGAGAAGGGGGCTAGACAGGATACCATTAAGCCCCTTCTAGTTCAGACATTCAGATTATAATTTCATGCTTCTTTAGATTGAGAGAGAGAATCTATTTCCATTAGACTATGAGCTTCTTGAAGGTAGGACTGTCTTTTGCCTCTTTTTGTGTCCCCAGCCCTTAGCACAGAGCCTGGAACTTAATAGGCACTTAATACATGTTTACTGATTGACAAACTGACTTCTTAGCAGAAACTTCCTGCATGGTTTCTAAACATCAATTCTGTAATATAAAGGTAGATTTTTTTTTTGAAAGCCTGCGTGGACTACTGTCAGTGAGTCATGGCCCTGTACTATATCTGCATTTATGTGGATGAGCTAGAGATGAAACAACATGCATCATGTTTTTGGTTCTTTTTTTCCTTAGATGAAATAGAGTGATTATTATTGATTTGTTTTAGAATAGGTTGTTGTTTTTAGTGGATTTTGTGGATTTTTCTCCCTTTGACAATCTCTGGAGACCTTGTATAACAAGACAAAGCCTCTGCTTTAATGTCCTTATGGGGAGCCCTCTAGAGAGTTTTTTCTGTGGGAATGGAAAGTTAAAGGTTGTGGTCTCAGAGTATGCACCTTAACAAGTGGATTCTGTTCAACTCATCCAGTAAGTGGGAGTATACTGCTTTGTTCCCAGATAACTCTGTAGTTATCTTTTTATCATAGAGTTTATAGTATGAAACAAGGGTACATTAAGATGGTATTTTTTTAAATGACTTTTCATATACTTTTTTTCTTTTTTTTGCTTGGCATAAATCCTTGTCTTACAGTTAAGAGCTTTCACGGATAACAGGGATGATATGGCATTGGGGCATGTAATCGTGTTGCTTCAGCAAGAGTGGCCACGTGGAGAAAACCTGTTTTTGAAAGCTGTCAATAAAATTTGTCAGCAAGGCAACTTTCAGTATGAGAATTTTTTCAACTATGTTACAAGTATCCTTTTTTCATACTAAGGAGCCTGCTCTGCCAATTTTCAGATTCTGTTTCAAGAATGACTTTTGTATTGTGTATTTTATTTAGCACTGAATTTTTAAAAATTAGTTTTATACCTCATTCTCATTAATCCCTTTTGGAACACCATCACTAAAGAAGAATAGAGAAAATAGGACAACAATGTGAAAAAGATTGTCTTATCATCAACATTTATTAAGCTGCTCTAGAGCAATAGTGTCAAACTCAAATAGAAACTGATCTCTGCAGGCCACATATTAACTTAGAAAACCACAAATTAACACAAATTTTGTTAAACATATATCTCAGTTACATTTTAATCTGGTTCAGATGATGCTGGCAGTTTTCTAGTTTGAAACCTGTTTTCTTCAGCACAGCCAGTTGACTAATAGGGAAGATACAGAGGTGAATAAAAACGTGGTCCCTGCTCTCATGGAGCTTACAGTCCATTGTAGGAAATGACACATTAATGTAACTGTAATACAAAACAAAATATGATCATTACATAAAAGAGGTGTTAGATGATCAAGAAAGGAAAGATTATTTATGGGGCAACGGGAAAGGCTACATTACATAGAAGAAGTGTCAGGTGAGCTGGGTTTTAAAGGATACATAGGAACTTGTGAAGTAGAGATAAAAAGGAAAGCATTAAAGGCTTAAAGAACAGTGTGCACAAAAGCAGGAAAGTGTAGGATGTGAAAGAAGGAGTAAAGGATGTCAGAGCAGTGGTCCAAAGGTCATCTTTTAATAAGAAGCATCAGTACTCCTCACTCACATGCCAGGATGTGAAGTCTGTGAGTGCATGCACTACAGCCAGCCCATGCTCTTCACAGTAACTGCTTTTAATCAAGGGGTGGCTCTCTTCCTTGTATCTAGCCACAATATGCCAGTTTTGTCATTTGCTAGGATGTTGACTATCCCTTGAAATGTGATTAACTGTTGTGCCCAATAGTACCCATTCCTAACACGGAGTATCCATCCCCTAAAAGATGCTGTTAAGCTACTCATCATTCCTTTCTTTAACAGAAGCTGCGTTTTTTACATGTTTATTGTTATTTGTGAGCTTTTTTAAATTGAGTTAATTTGTGCATTCACGCAGCAAGCATTCACTAAGCGTCTGCTGTGTGGTAGGCACACACTTCTATAAAGCAACCAGTGGTTTCTTAATTGCCAAATGTGATGGTCTTTCCTCAGTTGATCTGTCTGCTTCAACATTTAATGCTGTTAAGCACTCTCTTCCTGGTTACTCTCTCATCTGTTGATTTTTGTGATACTGCTCTCTCCTGGTTTCTCTTGCCTGTTTGAAGATGCCTTCTCAGTCTCCTTTGCTGTCTCAAAGTCCAGATCACTCCCCTTAATGAAGGCTGCTTCCCAAAGTTTTGCCCAGATCCACTTCTCCCTCTTAGTAACTTCATCAGTTCCCATTGGTTTAATCATCATCTCTATGCAGATGACTCATTTCTCCATATCCAGCCTCAGTCTCTCCCCTGAGCTTGAGTTTCACATTATCAACTGCCTATCAGACATTTCAAACTAAACATGAACAAAACAACTCATTAGCTTCCCCCTCAGCCCTCACCTCTTCCAAATTTCCCTTTTTCTATTAAAGGTATCACCATCTTTACAGTCTCCCAAGTTCATAACGTCAACATTATCCTCAATTCTTCTTTCCTCATAAATTCACAGTTGCCAGATCTTGCCATTTGTAAGTCTGCAATGTTTCTCAAATCAGACCATTTCCTTCCAATTACACATCTACTGCCTTAGTTCAGGTCCTCATCACCTCTCACTTATACTATTATTTTTTTTTAAAGGCAGTTGGGGTTGAGTGACTTGCCCAGGGTCACACAGCTAGTAGGTGTCAAGTGTTTGGTCTGAGGTTGGATTTGAACTCAGGTCCTCCTGACTTCGGGGCCGGTGCCCTATCCACTTCACCACTTAGCTGCCCCATCTCACTTATTATTATTGCAATGTCCTGTTAACTGTTCCCCCTGCCTCTCAAGTCTCTCCCCACTCCAATCCATCCTGTACACTGCTGCCAAAGTGATTTTTCCTTAAACATAGAGCTGACCTTGGCACTTCCCTGCTCAGCACCATGATTGGCTTCCTGTTGCATCCAGGATCAAATATAAACTCCTCTGTTTAGCTTTCGAAGCCCTGTACAACCTGGCCCCAACTTCAGGGGTCAAGTGAAATTTGTTTTAAGAGCAGAGGAGACCTGTATATTTTTAGGTGTCAGGGATAAAGAGAGGATGATAGAAAAAGAGAATAATTGATGATACAGATTTCCAGAGGGAAGTAGAAGGGATGGACTTCGTAAAAAATACTGTGCCTTTTTTTTTTAAGTTTTTATTTTTTCAATAACAGAATTCAATTTTCTCTCTCCTTCCTACACACCCCCTCTCTATGGGAGGTGGAGAAAGAACCTTTTAACAAATAAGCACAGTCAAGCAAAATAAATTTCTTCATTGGCCATATCCAGAAAAATGTATGTTTAATCATGCACCCTGAATCTATCACCTCTCTGTCAGGAGGTAGCATGAGAATCACTACCTCTTCAGAGAGTGTTATGAACGTTAAGAGAATAAATGATCTTTTAGATACCAGTTGAGGGGGGAAGAAATGTGTAACAGCCTCTCTTCAGTAACATAGGAGGCAAATTCTTCTGTTTGAGAAGTTTTAGAATAGTGGAAAAGGTTAGTCCACTACTAAAGAGATCGGGTAGATAAGCTGTTAATTATTACATATATGGAAAGGTTATTCCAGTGTCCTTTGGCTTTGGCCTTGTCATTTCTAGCTCAAAGGTACAGTATTTCTTTATTCATTAGCTACTTAGAGAGCTAATTTATTATTACTTGTATCATATGCAAAGTTTGGTGGTGAATCCTGAACCTAGGCCTACAGATATAGACATGCTGGAGGAATTTGCCTATTTGAGGACCCAGGAAGGTGGAAAAATCCATTTGGAATTACTGCCCAATCAAGGAATGCTAATCAAGTAAGTGATCTTAATCCTACTTTAAAATTTAACCCTTTCTAGCTGTTATAAGGTTTTGTGTAAAAAATAACTGCTTTTTGGTCATTTGCTTGATTTTTTTGTGTGTATTTGTGGGAAATAATGTTTACAATAATATATTTCTAATATTTTTCAAAAAGATAGAAGTCCAGGCCTGAGTCTCAGCTTCTATGAACATAATTAGGTTTGGAAGACATTTTAAAAGGCTTAAGCTTTCACAGTGACCTTCTCTATATTTCTAATATGATATTCACTATTTCAATGGTGTTGCTTCTGTCGTTTTTGAGAGCTTTCACTATGCAAAGGTCTCATCTGTAGTTTCTTTTATTTTTCCTTAAATTTATAAAATTAATAGAATTATAGACTTTTAGAGCTCAAAGGGTCCTTAGATGTCATCTAGTCTTGTTTTACAAGTGGCCCATGAGAAAAAGAGACTTGTTCAAGTTCGAAGACAGGTAATAAGGAGAGAGGCTGGGACTGAAACCGAGATCTTTTGACTCTTCTTGCCACCAACACCATTCACACCTCAATTCCTTTTTGGCCAATGAAGCATTCCATTTTTTTTAAATGGGAAAAAATTTTTGCTCCTTTTTGTGAGAGGCAAAAGCTCCCAAAGAGTAGCTAGCTGTGTCAAATATACAAATTGCACTTGATTTGAAAGTTTTACTCAGTAAACTAGAATTAAGTCCTATTATATGCCAGACACTGTGCTGTGTAAGTACTCTTAGCTCTAATGTACACAGAATAAAATAGTTGTCTAGTACCTCCTAGACAAACTAAAATCTTATTAGAAATTTATTCTCTTCAATTAATAAATGTTTGTTGATGTGAAGAGGACCAACCAGAAGGTGATTGGTTTTTGTTTTTTTTTCCTATGCCACACAAGTCAGTGACCCGAAAGATCATTAAATAACTCGCGGAACTTCCTCCGTCTGCAGCTCAGTACTAATTCTGGTTTGAATAATTGTGGGCTCTGCATTCTCTACTATTTTTTGTTTTCATTTTTCCCAAAGGTCGGTATTATGGTCACTTCAAGAAAATGAATCCTCAGTTAACACAGATCAAAAAGGATTAAATCCTTGGCTGTGGTCAAGATTCTTTTCCTCTCCCCTATGGAATAAATGGGTTCCCAGTTAACAGAAAGACAAGACTTTTCCCCTCCTTTTTCTCCCTTTCCCCCTGGACTTCCTATACCCTAGATTCCTTTTCTTAATTTCTCAGTGATTGAGAGTAGAAAAGGAATATTGTCTCTGGAACTCTAAGCCTGCTGAGTAATTTGGAAGATGGCAAACTTTCCAGCAGCATCTGTGCCTCCTTTCCCTTCCCCACATTTATTAGGGACCACAGGAAAGATACTAAAGATACAAAGAATTAGTAAGAATTAAAAGAGGCATATGTGTCTTCCCCATGGGTTTTTTTTTTTAAGATTGTAAAATAGACGCTGCACTTGATTTTTGACTCTGATCCTCTCAGTGACAGCAGAATGTCTCCCAATGACAACTGTTTACAAATAAAAACTGTTGTTTTGATTTGGGAGATAGGAAGCCACCAGTGTGGTTTTTCATTGTGATTTCCTTTCCAGATTGTGATGCTACATGCACAAATAGATGTCAAGATGTCATTTAGCAGAATCAAACTTTGTTTAGTTAGTAGCAAATATTTATACGGACAGTTCCTTTATATAGACAGTGTTTAATTATCATTAGTGGTGGGACAGAAGTATAGCTTTTCTAAAAAGAAAGACCTAAAATGAATCCTGAAACCTCATTTTAACTATTTGCTTTAACCTTGTCAAGTCAACAAGCATTTATTAAGGGTCTGCTGTCTGCTAGGTACTAAGTGCTAGGGATACAAAGAAAGTCCAAAGGCAGTCCTTGCTCCCAAGGACTACACAGTCTGTCTAATAGGGGGAAATACCACACAAACATTTGTGTACAGACAAGTGGTGAACAAGATAAATTGGATATAATCTCAGAGGGAAGGCACTGGTATTAAAGAGGATCGGGAAAAGCTTTCTTAATATGATTTTTTCTGGAAGCTTAAGGAAGCCAAGAATTCCAGGAGGCAGAGGTGAGAAGAAATCATTCCAGGGATGGGAGACAACCATAGAAAATGCCCTGAGCCGGGAGATGCAGTATCTTGTGTGAGGAATAGCCAGGCACTGACCAAAATGTTGTCCCCACCAGATGATTTATTCAAGCTGAACAAAAAGTGACATGAGAGATGTGCTAGAATGCAGACGTCCCCTGGACAAAGTGGGAGAAGTGAGGCTCAGGGTTAGACCCAGAAAGGATAGATCCACAAGGGATCATGAGGGTAGGTTAAGGATCTCTACTCCTAGCCTGTTAGTATAATTGAGATAGCTAATATTTATATAGCACTTTGAAGATTTATAAAGTGTTTTCTGTGCATTTCCATGTTTAATTCTTACCACAAACCTGTGAGGTTCATGTTATTTTTATCTCCATTTTACAGATAAGGAAAGTGAGGCTTAGAAGGTATTAGATACTTGCTTATGGTCACATAGCTAATACATGTCAGAAGTGGAATTTAAACCCAGAAATTTGCTGGTGCCGGGTCCAGTATCCTTTCCAGGACACCATTCTTCATTTTAAGAGCAACTAACATCTCCTACAAGCTAGGCCTTGGTTTCAGCTCTTGAAAACTGCTAAACAGCAAGGTATCAGAACTGGAGGCAGGTCTGGGCAGGACTAGCCTAATTCTTCTGGGAACTTTACTTAATGGGATTTGCCTAATATACTTTGTGTAGTTCTTAGAGTCATTCTAAAATCTGTATCTAGTCGTAAACTGCAATAGTGGAAGGACAAACAGGGGACAGAAGGGGAGCTCAAAAGACACCTGAGTAAAAATGGACATTGCCTTCCTCTGAATTATAAAGTTATTTCAAAAAGCTATTCCAGATGTAGAGGAAAGTTGTTTATTATAGTGCCTTGCACCCTTTGTAGTAAGCCATTAAAATACACAATACATAATTTTAAAGTGCAGAACTAATTGAGATCCTGTGATTAAAAGAACCGAGAAGATGGTAATAAAAAACTGCAATAAACTGTGTAGCCTGTCTTTAAGGTTGGTTCTCTATAAAATTGGGGAAATAAAATATGGAAATAGGAGCACCCTCTGCAGAAAACAGCCAGCTGGCTCAGGTCCTTTAAGCTAAACGAGGAAAACTCCAACCTTGAGAATAGATAAGAAGTAATTGCAGAAATATCTAGGCCACAAATGCATACACCCAGTGTATAGTTGCCTCCTTCCATTACATTCAGAAGTTATAGGGTAGTCAGTATAGACTGAATAGCATCTGTAATATTCACTTGTGGAAGCTTTATGCTGTGGCCAGCTTTGGACATTTTGTTCACTCCTCCCTGGCTGTCGGCTTGTCAGAGTTGTTGCAAATGTGGTACATCCAAAAAGGGTGAAAGTTGATGAAATGAGAAGTACCGAAGGAACATGGCATGGTTCCTAGAAACAGAAAGAGAAATTCTTTATCTTCATAGAGCAGGGGTTTTTAACCTTTTGGGTCAAGGAACCTGTTTTGGCAATCTAGTGAAGCCTATGGACCCCTCCTCAGAATAATGTTTATTACCTGCATTTATAAGTGAAGGAAATGTTACATTTCAGTTACAGGCTAGTGAAAATAGAGATGTGATTTTTTTTTTCCCCATCCAAATTCATGGATGGATCCCTTGGGGGTCCATAGACCCCAAGTTAAGAACCCACTGCTTAAAGGTTTTGCTTTTACATATTTAATGAGAAGTGGTTGGTTTTTTTTTTTAATATTAAATGTCTGCCGTACTTTTTTTAGTTGGATCAAACTAGCATGAAATATTGGTATATACTGTACTGTGTATGTCATGATGTGATCACTCAACATTGAATTATCTCCTAACCAAACCCCAACATAATTGCATTCCAGAGAGTTTTCAGGGTATATGTCTGGACTGTTGTTGAGAAAAAATAAGGATGGATAGGATTTTAAAATTAACTTTTTTAATGTATAGTTCATTTCCCACTACAAATTCATCATGCTCAGTTTCCTTACTGCTCTCTTTGGACACCATGCCTATCTTGAGACTCAGTTCAAGTCAAATTCTACATAAGACCTGGACAACATACGATCAGTGGGCATCATGAAAGTAGATGATGCTTCTTCCCTTCTGTCCCCTTCAGCACATGACTGGACTAAGGTGGTTATTGCAGGTTTAAAAAAAAGCACTCATATGGTCTCCTTCCAGCTCTCTCTTATATTTTCTCTGGAGTGTTTTACAGTACAGGGTGAGTCGGTGTGGGTGTTTGAATGCTGCTGTTTGCTGTTTTTTAAAGGCCTTCTAGCCCTCCCATGGGGTTACTGCAGCAGGAATTCATACCTGTACTACAGCCCAGCATACAGACTGCTGACAGGTACCAAGTGGGAAAAAACACACCTGCTCATAGTGTGCTGTTTCGTCAACATGTTGTACTGCCCATGGTTTTCAGCTCTCTGTTACCCAGTGCCCTCATCCATGCTTTTCTTTTAATTTATTCTGCATTCCTCAGCAAACCATCTGGTTGTAATATTGTAACATTTCTTATTTTTATCCATAAGTTGACAGTGTGTGTGTGTTCAATTTAATATTCACCACCAAATTTAAACTGAAATGAAGGTTATATGAAACTGTTATTAGACTGTACTAGTGTAAGTTTTAGTCTGAGATGCTAGCTTTTTAAATCAAGTTTCCTTCCCTAAATATAGGTAAAAATACCACTTTTTAGCTACAATTTTAGCCCTTTTCTTTTTCGTTGAGTCCCTTATCTAAGTAGAGATCATAGGTTCAGAGCTGGAAGGAACTTACAGGTCATCTGGTCTAACTCCCTTATTTCAAAATAATGAAGTTGAGACCTTGAAGGTTAAATGACTTGCCCACTGTAACATAGTGAGGATTCAAATCCAGGTTGGGTTTTTTTGTGTGTTTTTGGTTTTTATTTGTTTTGTTGGGTTTTTTGTTTGTTTTTTGTTTTTTGGTGAGGCAATCAGGGTTAAGTGACTTACCCAGGGTCACACAGCTAGTAAGTATCAGGTGTCTAAAGCCAGTTTTGAAATCAGGTTCTCCTGACTCCAAGGCTAGAGCTCCATCCACTGGACCACTTAGCTGCCCCAGATCCAGGTTTTCTACATCTAAATTCACTCCTGTTTAGCAGGTATAATTTCAGCGTTTTTTCCCTAGCCATTGACAATTTCTTTAGAGTAGGCAGTTCCTAATTTAAAGTACTGAATAGGTTAGAATGCTATAGGCTTCTATCTTCAGCTGCTTGGAGTTTGCTCTAGCAGTAGGGATGGGTTTGTCACTGCTACCATCAACATTTTTTTCAGTTGTAAGATTTACAAGATCAGGCTGCAGTTAGTCTGTGGCGCTGGAACAGAACTTTCTTGATGCCGTTAACTGACCTAGACAGGGATGGAACCCTTGACCTTGATTGATTGCCTTAGTACTGCACCCTAACCAAACTCAGCTGCCAGTCCTAACTCAGAATGCTTTGAATGGAGCATCTCGTTTTCTCTGTGCAACCAGTAAGGGTGTGAGTCTCATGGCAGATGTGCCACAGACTTCCTACCGTGAAACTACTTCCCTGAAGCCAGCAATTTAAAGCTTTCTGCTACAGTTGCAGTGTGACTTTTGATTGTGGCACCTGTATAGTTATTATAGCTAAAGTTATTTTTACTTCACATTATAGAATAGAAATAGTTTATAAGCACTTTTCAATTTTTAGTTATGCAAATGCATCACTACATCATTCCATCCTACATCACCTTTATAATCATGGAATAAAGGTGGCTTCTGATTTGAATTTATCTAAATCTGATGAATCAGTGAACTAGTAAAGTGAGGACCCATTTCCCCCATAGCTGTTGATTCCTGCTCATTTATTTTATTCATTGATAAGAATTTGCTTTATTGGATTTCCTCTATTGTTTCTCTTCTTCTTTAAGGGTCTTTTGAATATGCTCTTGATAGCATCCCAAAATGTTAACACCACCTCAAACTTTCCTGTTTATCTCCACCCCCAAGATCTTAGAAGCGCCAAATCTGTGGCAGCTTTGTGAAACATTGTAAGACCTGCTGCCACGCCATTGAGTTACCCAGCCTGCCACATGCCCTGCTTGATTTGCCTGGTTTTTGCTCAGTCTCTGACCTCTTTGCCAGTTGTTATTTCGTTTCCAAAATGGACCTACATCTAATGGTTCTTTTACCTGGTATTCTTAGGGAGCCACTCCCATGGTGGCTTCATGTTCCCTGAGCTCCCACAGATGACACTGAGGGCCTTGTGTAGGTGAGGAGGATCTCCCTCTGTTGGGTTCAAGAGCCTCAATTCCTTTAGAAGGAGTAGCAGCAGCAGGAGACAAGGATTGAAAACAAAGCCAGATTTTAACCAGTCAGATGTTCCTGTGCTGTTCTTATAGGGGAAAACGGTGACGATAACTTTTGAAGATGCCCATCTATCTTAAAATTTGGGGTAGCGTTTTATTTTGTATTGTTTGGGTTTGTTTTTTTTTTTAAGGAAATTTATTTTTCTTTTGCTGGCTTCCTTTTAAGTAGAAGGCAGATTTATGTATTAGACTATCCTTCAGGATTAATATGGATTCAGGCACAGATGATAATCCCATTTTCTCTTTGTTTTCCTGTTGCTAACTTCAGGCACCACACAGTAACCAGGGGTATCACCAAAGGTGTAAAAGAAGATTTCCGCCTGGCTATGGAGCGCCAGGTATCCCGCTGTGGCGAGAATTTGATGGTTGTGCTCCATAGGTTCTGCATTAATGAGAAAATCTTGCTGCTTCAGGCTCTGGCTTAAGTGAAGTGATCCCCATGAGCACAGTTTTCTTTTCTAGAAGTTGTGATCAATAACAGTGTGGCTTTATGACTCTTAAAAGGAATCATCTGAATGCTAACTTTAGTTGCTTTTAATGTGGAAGATACAAAAATCTAAGAAGGTATTTCTATTTTTCAATATCATTTTTTGTAACTTTTATAAAGGAGAGTGAAATCATTTTGTAAATAAAAACCATCCTTAAAAAAACTTGATGAGTGAATGAAAAAGCATTTATTAAGTATGTATGAGGTACCATGCACTGTGTTAATAAGCTGGGTACAAAAATACTTTTCAGAAGAGAGGCCCTTCCCTCGAGGAGATTACTTCTTAATAGGAGCAGACAGACACATAAAAGGGTGTTTTGTTCTGGAGAGGTAAAAGGATAGGGGGAAATGAAAGGGGCCAGGGACTCACAAAGCATAAGGTAGGTGGTGAGAGAGCCCGAGTGGAGGCCTGAATGGGATGTGAAACTAGTACAGATTGGGGTATCTAGGCCTGGCCAGGAGATATATTGGGCTAACGTGCACACACACTCAGTCACCAGTCAACTGTGTTGTGTCCTCAGGTGAGCGTTCCAAAGGTGATATGCAAATAAAATGTGTTGACTTTTACAGGTATCCCTGTTAAAAGCAGCTACTTTCTAATTTTGCAAACAGTACAATCAGCAGTCTGATGCATGACTGGATTTGGTAGTGAGTTTTCATGTTACAGATAATATTGAGGCATCATGCCAATGAATACAGTGCATTCTATAAGCCAAAATTCCCACTGTCAGCCTGAGTACTTCTCTACATTTCTCAGATTTGTTAAATATAAGAAATTCACTTTGTCTTTCAAGGGGCTTTAATCGTAAAACGTCATCACCCAGAGTACAGTAGGCTCCACTCGCAGGACCCTTATTCCCCCAGTTGAAATAAGTACAAGAGAGAGCGGGTAGTGGGACCTCGTGAGGTGGAACAGAGCAAGGTCCCTGGGCTCTGCCAGGCAGACCTGGAGGAGTAAAAGGATTCCCCAGAAGCTTTGCTTTGTAGAGCCTACCTGGCTGAGCAAGAGTTTTGGTGAGATGAAGGAAGAACTTGCCGACTAGCGAATATGTTTTGTAGATGGTTCTGATGAGAATACAAATCACTGTCCTTGAAAGTCAGCATATTTACACAGTGGCCTAAAAATAAATCCAAAATACCTGTTTTAGAGGAAAAGAATAACATACACGGAGAAAAAAAAGCAGTCAGGATTTCAGTGATCCACAATAGAGGTTTAGAACACTTGCCAAATACTTTTTATGATCTGTACAGTCATCTGACTAGAACAGAGGCAGGGATCACACGGATACTTGCTATAATCGTGGAAAAGCCTGGAATAATTGAAAGATGGCTTTCAGTTAACTTTTAAATGTGAGTTTCTAATACTCTGCCTTGTATTAATGCATTACAAATATAAGTGATCTTTTTTTTTAATCATGCAATGTTTCATCCTATCACTTCTTTCTAGTTAAATATTCTCCTGTGGCACAATGGATAGAGCTCTGGGCCTGGAGTCAGGAAGACCTGAGTCTTCCTGAGCAAATGACTTAACTTCTGTTTGCCTCAGTTTCCTCTTCTGTAAAAGGAGGATGAAATGAGATAACATAAAGTGCCTGGAATATTGTAGGTGCCCGTATAAAAGCTAATCCTCTTCCCCGTTCCTTCACCCATAACACCTCTCCCAGATATTTGCTCTTGGGCAACACACATCAGAGCTTTGTGTTTTGGATCTAGACTCGCTAGGCAGCAGAAAAACAAGCCCATTCGTTTTCAGTGACTAGTTCCATCAGAGGCCAGCAGGTTTAGCTGTTTCAGAACTGGCTGAAGTGAAAAGATATTCTGACAGTCAGCTTTATCTGTGGAGCAGTCACACTGCTCAGGTAGTATGGATGGAGTCAGTCATTCAGCCATAGCTGTGAAAATATATCATTCCTATGTCTTTTATATCTAATTCAGCAAACATTTATTAAGAACCTACTGTTTGCAAAGCACGTAGCTACATCACAGTGTGTTTTAAACATCAATGATAATGACAAGATTGTATTTCTGTGCCAACAAAATGATTTTTTTGGCTAAAAGCATAAAACAAAGTTGGGATGAATGCAGGGTAGGGTAGAAGGAAAGAGGAATGCTATGATAACTTTGCATGTGCACACAATAGAAGCACATTTAAATCGTATATAAATGCTGAAATAGTAAAAATTAAAACTATACAGTCTTTTTTTTTAGTCTTCAACATAACCACCATCGTTGGTGACACACCAATTTTCAGTTGCTACTCTTGCATTGAATTTGTGGAAACAAAATTAACCCAAAATTAACAATGCTAATACATAAGCTTCAGCAATCTACCTTTGATATTCCATTTACAATGTGCTTTCATTATGTGTAAATCTAAAGTTAGTCAAGTTACATAAAGATTTTATAACCATCCAGTGTACAGTTTACTCAGATAACAAGGAGATGGTCTACTAGTACCAGAAAAGGATGAGAAGTAATCTGGTATAGCCAGGCTCAAAGAAATGGCAAAAGGTAAGTATAAGGCCAGTTAGCTGAAGACGAGGGAAACCGGAAAAGAACCTATTTTGGCCAGAGTTCAATAAAATACAGTGCTATTGTAGGAAACCATCTTCACGGGACATTGGCAAGCTGTCCTGAGAGGGCTTCACGGGCCTTCACATGAAACGCTAAGCTGGGAAGCCAGTGCTGATGGTGACTTTGGTCTTTTTTAAAATGTTTTGGTGCCGTCCACCAATCAAGGAATTTTTTTAAAAGTCTGGCATTTAGTCACATGGTGCAAACATCTCAAATTTCTACCAACAGGGAACTTAAGAATTCATAAAACTTGGAAGGGCAAAAGGCAATAAGTTTGCGATTACTGGAACTAATGCCCAACAGAAATTGATTACTAAAAGAATGTGAGCTTGTGATGAACTAATGAAAGGAGTTGAAAAGATCCCATGAATCTACAACTGAGCAAACCATTCTTTTCTACCTCATTTGGAAACTTACAAGAACCTATGTTTGAGATGTTAGAGAATTCGTACCTGAAGCAGCTTTACTGTTGAACTGAGTTTATTTCATTGGATCACATTTACATAGTAGTTAAGGTTAGCATTTTACCTCTTTGGAAGGAGTTAAGAACTTTGCTGCACTGGAAATTCTAATCTAGCCCCTTGCTCTGGTGTAAGAAGGATTGTTAGTGTTAATTTTACTCTTAGTTCAAAATCTGCTCCTAATCTTTTCAGGTTCTAGAGTGACCTCTACCTCTGTGAAGTGGTAATAACTAAGTTCATAGTTAACAGTCTCAGTCACATTGGGGAAATTCTCTTAAGCGTGCGTTTTGCAAAAGTTCATTTGCCTTCCATTCACCCTGAGAGGTGGCTAGTCAGTGATTCCAGCTCATTTTTATAGAGGTTCAGGAAATAGCAATACAAGTAAACATAAAAAATAGGCCCATAAGAAAAGTCACTACTTTCTTTGGATATAAACTTTACATGTGGACCCCTTCATATCTGTGGAATTGCCCTTGCTTTGGCTTATCGGCTTATAGGATTTAGTACCTAAAAGAAAAAAAATCTTAGATCACCTCATTTAAATAACAGGTAATAGCTAGCACATGCATATTTATATAATGCTTTAAGATTTGCAGAGTGCTTTATAAATATTTAATCTTCACCACAGAGGTAGGGGTATTATTAATCTTATTTCATAGATCAGGAAACTGAATCAGGTTAAGTGACCTGCCCAGGGTCCAATAGCTAAGTAAGTGTCTAAGGCAGGATTTGAATTTATGCCCTTCTGACACCAGTACTCTCCATGTAGCTGCCTTGAATAAGGAAACTGAGGGTCCAGAGACATAAAAGAATCCTCCCTTAGTCACACAAGTAATAAGTAGCAGAGCGATGAAGACCTAAGTCCATTGTCCTTTGTATTACCCCCAAGTGAACAGGAGTAAGATAAGCACGTTTTAGAACCCACACTTAAACGTACTTAAAATACAGTTTGAACATAAGAATAAACATAAAAGCATTAAATAGATGCCAAAAGGCTTTTTCTAAATTCACAGCATAGTATTTTCTGCTTTACTACATGAAACTCTACCACTACGAAACGAAATGCTACATATTCAGTTTTGAAAAGGTTCCTAGATAATAAGATATACAGGCAATGGGGTATAGAAATCTATTCTGCCCTATAGGAAAATAGAAGGGGAAGTGAATAAGAGAAGGGGGTTTCATCACGAATTCTCTAGAATTATAATTAGTCATTACACTGATCAGAGTTCCTAATTCTTTCAGAGTTGTTTGCCTTTAAAACCACATTGCTGTCATTGTATGTAAATTGTTCTGGTTCTATTCATTTCACTCAGCATCAGATCATACAAGTTTTCCCATTGTTTCTCTGAAACCCTCCCCTTCATTCCTTACAACACATAACTTGTGCACTCATTCCCTAATTTATAGACACCCCCTCAGATTGCCATTCTTTGCCACCTCAAAAGAGCTGTAAATATTTTCTTCCCTTCCTCTAATTCCACCTACCCCTCCATTTCCCTACTGAATGAAATGTATTACTGTACCCGTGTGTTCTTCCTTCCTTTAACCAGTTCAAATGCAAATAAGGTGGAAGTGTCAGCTTCTCCCCGCCCATCTCCTCCTTGTTTATATAGATGTCAACTCATGTGTAAACTAATCACATGAGATAATTTCCCCTAACCTTTTCCCTTCCCTACCCCCACCCCCCAGTGTATTCCTCTTCCTCCTCTTTCTGTTCTTTTTCTTAAGATCATCAAAACCTTAAAAGAACCACCCCTTGGCTTCATCTAATTGGACTCCGTTTTTTGAACCCTCATGATGATACAGATCAGAGGCGACACATGTATCATCTCCCCACATTAGAATGTAAGTAGTTTATCCTTTAGTTCGTGATCATTCATTCATGTTTCCCTTTTTATGCTCCCTGTGTTTGAACTACCTTAATGAAATAGCTCTGGGTCTTTTCATCAGGAATGCTTAGAAGTCCTCTATTTCATTAAGGCAGGATTATACTCAGTTTTGCTAGATAAATTATTCTTGGCTCTAAGCCCATATCTTTTGCCTTTGGGCACACATTCAGAGTTCTCCTCTCCTTAAGGGTAGTGACTGCTAAATGGTGTGTGATCCTGACTGTGGCTCCTCAGTTCTTGAATTCACTTTCTGGCTGTTTCCAGTATTTTTTTCTTTGACCAGGAAGTTCTGGATTTTGGCTATGATGCTCCTGGGAGTTTTCATTTTGGGGTTTCTGATGCAAGTGACCAGCAGATTCTATTTCCACTTTGTCCTCTGATACTAAAAGACCTTGGCAGTTTTAAGATTTCTTGAAATATATTTAGGGTTTTTTTAAAAAAAATTTTGAGGGAGAGGTCATGGCATTCATAGTCCAATGAGTCTTTAAAAAAATTTTCCCCACTGTTTTCCTGGTCAGTTGTTTTTGCTATGAGATACCTTACATTTTAATTTTTTTAGCTTTTTGACTTTAATATTTCCTGTTGTCTCATAGAATCATTCATTGGATGGTCCTGTTGCTACTTTCTTAGGGTATGTTGTGTTATTCCACAATCCCAGATATAGCCTGAGGACCTACTAGTTCCTTCCAAAGTGGTCTGATCCAGGGCAAAGTCTGATTGCTGTACTTCCTCCTCCCAGTTCTGCAAGTTCTTGACCCAGGTTTCCGTCAGAGCAACAAGAGAATGCAGCTAGACAGAGCCCCCATCAGCCAAGTAGGAAGTTCTGTTCTAAACTGACAACTGCAGCCTCCTTTGGTCTGAGATTCCTACCTTTGTTGTTTTTCTGCAGGAAGACACGGCTAGATATTGGAACTGAAATCCATTTCTGCTCCTGGGGTGTGTGTGAGCCACACCACTGCTGCTGCGGGCTTCTGGACTTCTTGGGGCACTCCCTAGGAATGCCACCCCCATGTGCAAGTTCCCTTTTCGGTCTACTGTGGATCTAGGACCCAGGACTGGGGAGTGGGCAACAAAGCTGCTATCTGGTACCTGTCCCTGTTTCCGTGGCCATGTAAGGGTCGGGGGTATCCTGATATGAGTGTGGGACCTCCTCTTGCTCTTGTACACAGCCTCTCCCTGGGAGCTGGAGTGCACACCCATAACATACTCTTGCCCTGACCTAGTCCCCAGTGTCGACAGATCTCTCTCTCTCTCTCTCTCTCTCTCTCTCTCTTCTCTCTCTCTCTCTCTCTCTCTCTCTCTCTCTCCTCTCTCTCTCTCTCTCTCTTTTCTCTTTTCTCTCTCTCTCTCTCTCTCGTCTCCCCATGCCAACCTGGGCTGAACAAAGGAGTCATTGACTTTTTCTGGATTTTCCCATCAAGATTCAGTCTAGTGCATCTTCTAGGTCTGCTGAAGTTTTGTGAATTGGAGCCTGGCTGCCCAGCTTCTTGAGAGTCTGCCATCTTGACTCAACTGTAAATGGCACCTACATCAGAGATGTATAAATGCTTATTTCCTCCCCCATTTCCCCTTCTTTCCCTAGGGGAATTGGAAATGGCTTAACATCGAAGATGAAACATGAGCTGATCTTAAGATTGTACGAGACAGTGTTTATTTCATGATCACTGATATATTTTTATTTGTCTGGGGTTTCTTTAACATCAAATGACTTAGATCACATGAAGCTCTCAGGAGAATTAAAACAAGCCAAAGGACAGTGGAAAGCAGTATGGTGGGCATGGACAGACTGTGGCAAGCTTCCAGGGGCATCAAGTACAAGGAGTGGTGAAGACATATGACTGAAAAGGGAGATGACTCAAGTCAAGAAGTAGGAATGAGAAATAACAGACAGCTTGAATAGGGCATAGAAGTGTCTGCAAGATACTAAAAGAAAAGGAGGACGACCTTCAGCTGCTTTGAAAGATTTATGAAATACTTGGATACATTTTGGTTTCTGAAGACTGATAGTGAAGGATATCTCTCAGGAGAGGTGGCGATCTCTAGGTGGAAAGCATACATTTGCAGATTTGGTCAATGTATCGTATTTGTTTTGCTTAGCTGGGCTTATTATTGGGAGGGGATCCTGGGGGCAGGAAGGAGTTATTCAAAAGTAACAGGGATGTAAAAAAAAGGGGGGGGTACTAATGAAACACTTTCAAATGAAAAGAAAAATGAGGATAAGACTCCCAGGGGAAGAGGTGTGGGTGGGGTTGCAGTGTATGTCAGTAGATGGAACACACATTGATGAACTCCCAGGTCCACTGAGAACCAAACTCCAAAATTCCCCACCCATATGTGCTAATGAAGCATCTGAAAGCTGCTAATTCTTATTTTAGGTTTTCCCAGTTCCATTAAGAAGAAACACTCCCATGTCAGCTTGCTGACAGTGGGCAAGAACAGATCTCCGTTGTGAAGATATAATAATGGGAGGGGGGTTATACAATGAATGGTCTGACAAATGATGCTCAAACATTTTAATTGGAATTTTTTCCATAATAAAATACACCTTTACTGAGAATTTCAGAAAAACCACAGATAAACTCTAGATAGCTACAGAATACTGGCAAGAAAAGAAGTTCAATACATGGCATCTTTAAAAAAAAAAAGTAGGAATGACAGAAAAAGTCTTGACAGAAGGAGGCATTTTTTTCAAGAAGCATCAGAGAACAGAAATGTGTGTCATACAGCGAGCGCCTGGCAAATCTGAAAAGGGCACTTAGAAAGGTAGGCTTTCTTGGAACTCACTTAGCAGGAGTCACACTTAGCAGAAAAGCTGGGATTATTAAATAAAGCAGAGCATATCAGCACATAAACACATTCAATAATCTTAATAGTTCACAAGAGAAATAAGGCTGCTCTTCATAAGCGGGGTATATAAGCTCTAAAACATCAATTTTATAGGAAAATGAGATAAGTAAGAAGAAATCAGGTCTTCGATTGTTTTTTATCAAACTTGAAAGCAAAAGGCCTGCAGAAATTCCCTTTCAATGAGACCTCATCAGAATGGAACTAAAACTGTCAAACACATCTATTTTTTTTTTGAGGCAATCAGGGTTAAGTGACTTGCCCAGGGTCACACAGCTAGTAGACATCTGAGGCTGAATTTGAACTCAAGTCCTCCTGACTCCAGGGCTATTGCTCCATCCACTGTGTCACCTAGCTGCCCCTAAATAACATTTATTTACACAGAATAAGGGGGAAAAAACCACCATGGTCAGCTACACTACAAACACATGATTTACAAATACACAGAAGACAGGATTTCTGATGAGTTAAGTACGGGATTAAACCAGTTTACATGACTATAGCATCTAATTTATGCACATTAAAAGAGGATTCCATGTTCCCACAACTCAGACATTCCACAGCCCATCCACTTTTCTCACTAATACAGATGGCAGTCTATTTGCTTCACTGATCTCCCTGGGCCCCTCTAGAATCAGTCCAGTGAAATGTATCTGCATGGCCCTCAGATTTTCCAGAAGATCCTCTTTCGGTAGAGCACATAAGCAATGATAACCCAGAGGGAAGTGGCAACCAGGTTCTGAGTCAAGTGTTCCTTATGAGACTGGTAGTCCTCCATCTTCCACTGAAAAGGGAAGTAGTTCTCAAAGACCTCATGCCCAACGTATACTAGGATGGAGTTCATTCCTTAAAAAGAAATTATAAAAAGATGTTGTCAGCTCAAATGCACTGTTCCAGAATCATGAGCTGGGGACAGCATCTTGCTTAGCTGAGACATACAATATAATATCGAATGCCTCAAATGGAGGGTGCTATGCATTACTGGGCAGACATGCTTTCCTCCCTATGAAGCCTCAAAGAGAAACTAGAACAATGCGATTTATAGACAGATAAAACAAAGATCTTGACAATGTAATTGAGGGGGGAACCACACCTGTGATTTCATTGATGGGGGGAACTGTCGATCAGAGAATCGCCTCTAACAGTGTAGACTCATACCTGCTCTGCAACTTTTATTCCTAGAGAGGTGTTTGGGGAAATAACAGGGTAAGTGACTTGTCCAGGGTCATGTAACCAGTATGTGCCAGGACTAGGGCACATGGAATTATACTACAGTGAAACCAAAAACTGCCAGAGGTAGAGACCCTTCCACCTATCTCATCCATCCCTCTGCACTTAAGCCAAATCATGGACCTATTTTTTTTTTTGGTTGACACTTATGGCTTCATTAATGAGTAGGAACTCTCAGTATTGAAAAGTCCCTCCAGAAGAGCAGATCAACAACTCTTTTGTAACTTAAAATCTTAGAGACTTAGAATAACTGGGACGCAGGGACATCAGGTAAGTTGACTATGACCACCTAGGTAGCATGTATTAGAGGCGGGATTAGAACCGGGGTCTGATACCAATGATGGCCCCCTCTCCACTACACCACACTGTCTCTCTTGGGACTGTCTTGTGCTCTGATCTTTTTCATTTTGGGAAAAATATTATCTCTGCACAAAACCTTGGACATCAAACTAAGCATATTATTGAAAGGCTGATGTCTTCCAGGAGGGACAATGAATTGGAGCTGTTCTGACACTAGGTTCATTAATTATGAGTATTATGTCATCTGTCACAGATACCTCTGTTAAAGTCTCTATTCCCACAGTGGCACCCTTGTTACCCTACCCTACTAAAACAAATGTTAGTCTTACACAGTAGGCTCAGCTCCAGACAGGCTGTTGACACTGTTGATCCCTCCCTGCCCCCTTCATGGAAAAAATGCCCAAGGTGGTTACTGTCCCCTCGGCTTCCAGCTGTCCAACTACCATCACAGGCAACCTTTGCTCTGAGATAAACCTGGCTGACCTGGGTAAAAGAAGGGAGCTCCAGACCAAAGTCTTGCCACATCCACCAGGAAATACATAAACAGGAGCAGAAGGAAAGCAAAGAAGCTCAGGGTTGTCACATAGGAGATGGACCTACACAGTTAGGGGGAGAAAAGATAATGCTATTTAGCCATCATAGACTACAGCATACTGTAGTGTAATCAATTAAAAGGATTAAAGCAATATTTTGTTTTCTACTTACCAGAGATTTTTATTTACTGGAATGAAGCCTTCATTTTGAGAAAATTTGGTCAAAACACCTGAAATAATAGCCTGTAAGAAAAGGGAAAAAAAAAAGGACAAAGGTTTATATCTGGTGTGGGAAAATAAAATTTATACTACAGGACACAGGAAAAAGGACTTGTTTAAAATACCAAGAGATAATGAGGAAATGTCCAATATGTTTTTAACAGGAAGAAATATCTTTTAAGATGCTTATATAATTATTTAACTCTTTATAACAAAATTATACTTTAAATTCATTTTAAATAAGTTACAATATATGAATGTGACGGAATACTATTGTGCTGTATAAGAAATGATGACACAGATGGCTTCAGAGAAAACTAGGAAGACTTGTGTGAACTGATGCAGAGTGAAGTAAGCAGAACCAGGAAAACAATTCACACAATAACAACATTGTTAGGACAACCAACATATTGTTGTTGCTATCATATTGTTTGCCTTTACAATGGGTGGGGGAGGGGCTGGAGGGAGAGAATTTAGAATTCAAAAACAATTTTTTTTAAAAGGTTAAATAATAAATTGGGAGGAGAATGACTTGGAAACTGACCAACACAATAACCACACACAATTCCAGAGGTCTCATGATGATAAAAACATCCTGCCCACCCCCTGACAGAGGTGATTCAGAGTGCAGATGGGGATATTTTTGAAGGAACATGGCCAATGCAGGAATTTGGGGGTTTTCTGACTCTTCGTGTTTGTGACAGTTTTGTTTTTCTTGCTTTCTCAATGTGGGGAGAGGAGAGGTGAGGGAAAGAGAAAGTGGATATTTTCTTTGAAAATAAAATAAAATTTAATTTAAAAATTAAACTCATTCTGATAACAATATCTGATTCATCCTTACAACATTTATGGGAGAGAAACGGAAGAGGGCAGGAAGCCTGAATTGCCTCCCACTTCCACACACCCACAGTGAATCAGTGACCAAGATGAAGACAGGATGATGATGGAACAGTGTCTCTACACATTCATTTTTCACATGCAATTCCAGAACACAGCATTGGAAAATTGCCCTTGGCCTTAACACAGCAGCTTACTTTTCTTATTCATGTAATTATCTAATGTGAAGAAGCAAAAACCCTCTCCTTTCATTAAAAAGGAAGCGTTTTTCCATAAATCTGAGTGAGGGTGCTCATCACTACAATACAAGTAAAACAGGGGGCCTGATGGGCACTGGAAATGTAGTGGACAGTTACTATGGGAAATTTCACAAGGATTTCTAAGTACACACATTTTAACATATATTTCATTAACGAGAGGCAGCATAATCTAGTGACCAGTAAAACTGGCATTGAAGTCGGCAAATTGGTTCCAGTCCTGCCCTAGACACATGTTGGCTGTGGTAAAATAGGCAAGTCATTTAACTTCTCAGGGGACTTCGCAACTCCTCAAGACTAGACGTTACAAAGGAGGTGCCGATCTACGTTAGAGGAGGGAGCTTCCAGACCCAGAGTCCCCTGTATTAATGAAATCAAAAGCCAAACCTTCCCTACCGTCTAAAAAATTACATTCCT